AATAAATCGACCATAAAGTGCTGGAACTGCTAAACAACTGAAGGCACGGAAGGACGCAGGAAACAGAATTTTCAGAATTTCATAATGTGTTGCAGTTGGAACATACCAATGGAATTCCTTGCAATATCATCATCAATTGAAAAGACGGCTCAACAAGTGGAAGATAAACACCTTTCAGAATTAAAGATAAAGGAGTAAATCTGTGCAGTAAATAATAGCTAGAGATGATATCACAGCAAGAACAGAATTTTTACTTCCAGTATGAGTATCCTGGAATATTCTAAGAACTATAAGAACCTGAAAGGAGTACTAGAAGCCGCAGCACTCATCGACGTATGGAAGACAGTCACCCTATGACGCCCATGACAGTTACCAATGCAAGTGATAAGGTCAAAGTCGTTAGAAAAGGCAAAGTGCTTGCAGCATGTACTCCAGTGGCCTGCATTTAACAAATCTTTAAATATATATCTTCGGAGAACCTAACATGCGAGTTATTCTCGAGCCTTTTCTATCATCAAACGAAGCTACAAAGAAAGACAGGCACATTCTACCTAGAACCAAGTGGACCAGGTTTAAAAGAGTGTATATTGGCAGATAGCAATCAACCAAGAAAGTTCAAGATGATGCCGTTTGGATTACATACTGCAACAACAACATTTAAACGCGTCATGGACACCGTGTCGAGAGGTCTTTCCTATGAAGCCTGTCTGACCTCTTGAAGAACATTTGGAATACTGAGGAGGTGCTTCAGAAATTGAAAGAAGTCAATTTAAAATTAAGTCCCGTGAAATGTAAATGACAGAAAGTGACATGCATGTCATCACTAAGCTGTGTGTACGGCAGTTCCCCGAAAATATTCATCAGCTTGAGATGCTGCAGGAGATTTCTGAAGGACTTTTCTTCTATCGCACGATCCCTTAACAAGCGGAGACCACAATTTCGTATGAGAGTTGGATACAGTTACATTTACATATCTACATTTATTCAATCACAATACCAATTACAATTCTAGGTAGACTGGACCCAAATATTGCTACGTTTGGTAGTATGTGTACAATTTAGTGAAATAGTTATTTACTCAATGTTAGACTTGCTGCTATATTCTTACTTTTCTGGCAAAGTTTCACTTCTTTACATTCATGTTACATTATACAAAAAACTACAATTTCACTAAAATTATTTACATATATACAAAATTCGTAAAAATATTGTTCAAATATTGTACATAAATAGATAATTTTAGTGAAATTGTTGCATTTTTCTGTATAACATAACATGAAAATTTACAGAGATGATGCTCTACCGTAAAAATAAGAGTACAGGGTCAAGTAAATGAGATAGGGTATTGCTAATTTGGCGCGATCCCAGCAAGCTGGCAACGATTTTCGCAACTGATTTTGATTGCCAAATTTGGCGAGAAATCACCAAACTTCACAACCTTTTGGTCCTGTTCCTGTATAACTGTAATGGATATTGTAATTGAATAACGAATTGATACTCTGTGTAACTGTAACTGGCCCTATATGCCCTAAGTACTAGAAATACCTAAGTGGCCTGGCGAAAACTATATAAGACTGGAAAAAGCATCTCTTTTTCAGTTGTTGTATTGTTAATTCAGCATGAGTTCGGAGGACTGACCTGTATCCGGGTTATCTTCCCTCTTTAAATGCATTTTGTTTAAACATTCTTAGTAGTTTGAAGTATAACTAATGAATGTGCTTGTGATACAGCAGAGTTATACAACTATTTTTGTGGAAAGTTTCAGAACTGTGAATTTTTTCCTTTGATAAAATAAATTTTATCAACCTATCATCGAACCAGTGTGCATTCAATCTATTACGATCCCATGTGCACACAGCAGGTTTTGGTGTCAGAAGTGGGGTTGGAATGTCAGTGGCAAGAGTGATGAAGAAGCAATGAAGTCAGCTGATGGCAGCCTTAGGTGCATTCAAAGAAGAGATGAAAATGGGCCAAGAAATGATTGAAGCTGGTCAAGAAGAAATGAAAAGAGAAATTACTGCCACAATAGAAAACACATTCAAAGCTATGGAAGGCAGAATAGACATAGCTGAAGAAAAATTTGGTTAAACTGAAAGAGTTTCTGCTATCCAACAACAAACTATGGAATTTCTGCTGCTTTCACCGAGAAAGTTGAAAATTAAAAGAAATCTATTAACAGCAGCTGGTCACAATTGAATTCGACTCTTATGGAAAACCAGAGTCTAAGACTTCAAAGTTCTGTCCAGTGCATTGTAGCTGCACTTTGGGTAGGTTTCCATTGGTGAGATTTTTCAACGGAATCCCACAAAAACACTATGGATGTAGTCTCATCTCGCGTTTTCGGACTGCCCGTCAGAAACAATGGAAATCTTGTTCCTACAATAGTTTGTCGATGCATCCAGGATCCTGAGATACAGAAAGGCCTTGCGAATTACGGATGTCAAGGATTTAAAAGAGCTCTAGTGTATGCCATGAAATTCGAGGCAGCCCAGAAACTCATAGAAACTGCCACCCAGTCAGAGCTGCTGATGTTCATGAGCTAGTGGTTCAACTGACTGCTTATCTAGATGATTAAACCAAGCATGTCAATGCAGAATAAGAGTGGAAACACTTGGATGCTAAGGTGTTGGAAGTGCGATGGTGAAGACCATGCACTTAGGAACTACAGAACAATCCAAGGCACAGAAAATAAGACTAGAGCACACACACACACACACACACAAAAAAAAAAAAAAAAAAAAAAAAAAAATTAGTGGCCATCTTGCAGAGTGGAGATTGAAAGATGAGAAGCTCCCATTTCAAAGCGCTTCAGATTTCTGTAATAAGTGGCGGCAGTAATGGACTCTTTTTTTCTTGGGACATATCAGTGGAGCTCATTGCAATATGATGTTGATACAGCAGCCACTGTTACCATCATTCGAAAAGATTTGGCTCAACAACTGAAAGGTAAACTCATCTGGACACCGGTCTGCGTTACCCTCCAGACTGTAACTGGGGAGAAGATTGACATAGACGGAAAGTTAAACATTCACTTCACATTTGGAAGTGCCACCTACCATTACATGGCATATGTTACAGATATTATAGATCCTTGCATACTCAAACTGGACTTCCTAAGGAAATAAATTTTTTCCTTGGACTTTAAAAATAATGAACTGCATTCGGCCTCTGAGGACATAACCCCGTTCAGAATCAATGATGAAGAAGTTCAGTCTGTCCACCTTAGCTTAAGATGATATCACTGTATCAGCAAGAATAGAAATTTTCCTTCCTGGACTTCCTGGATTCATAACTGAATACAGAAATTTACAGTACAGCATCATGGAACTGTAACAGCCAAAATGGAGAACTAGTTGCCTCAGCACTCGTCAACCTATTGACGACAGTTATCCAGTGAGAGTTGCCATCTGTTTGAAGTGTAATTACCGATTGTACTCTGTCATACTGTGAAGAACTGTACGAGTATTTTTTGTGGAAAGTTTAGAAACTTGAGTTTTTTTTTTTTTTTCTGATAAAATAAATTTTATTAAACTATTATCAAACCTGTGTGCGCTCTGTTACGAACCAATACACACACAACAATATGTATCCTACTTTGCATCATGTCATTTTTTGTTTTTAAGCTATGCTGACTTAAGTATCAATGGTTTTCTTATGAGGAAATACTAAACATTACATTCCTGACTGAATTGGAATATCAGAGGATGATGAGTTTCAGAAATGTTTCAACATTGTTACAAAAGGATTTTATTTTGAATGTATTATGTTGTTTTCAAACTTCAATTACTTTAGTTCCATCTATCCCAATTTCCAGATTTCTAGATCTTGGATTATAAGCCAAAATGTATAGTTTCATAAAAAAATAGGACTTATAGATGTCAGTATACTCTTAAAAGTATTTTAATATATAAAAGAATTTTGAAAAATCTTAAAAATATATATACTATAGTATATTTACACCCTCTCATAATATAATTAATAGTTTTTTTTTAATATTATATCAATATAAGTTGAAATATATCTTATAAATATTCATAAAAATAAATAGTAAAGTTAAATTAAATTAAATAATTCTCTTGCACCATTGCTGCAAGGAATGAAATTTGAATTTAACAAATGTTCCCTATTCGTATAAAGCAAATTAAAAAAGTTAATTAAAATTTTAATTGCATACAAATAAATGATTAATTATTGCTGTGAGCTAATTTACAATATCATTTAAATTCTGAAAATGTATGTAAATTAAGTGAAAGTATCTAAAACCAGGAATAAAGATATAATATTCTAAAAAATTAATCCTAATTTTTTTTTTTTTTTTTTTTTTTTTTTTTAAATTTCCAAGACTAAATTAATTTGCATTAGTGAATAATTGTTGAGCAGGCAGGAGACAGATCTTATCAAGGGGAAGTTGCCTCCAAACCTAACTCTTCAATTACTCAATTTGTGTTTTGTCATCCATATATGTATGGGTATAGTAATATTCAAAACCAAAAGTAAATCAAATGTAGTGAATTACTAAAAAATTTAAACAAAAGGAATTTTGAGAAATTTAGAAAGAAATTGACTAAGAATTAAAATAATAATTAAATGTAAATTGCCAATGTAAAAAGAGTAGAAAACCTAATTTAGAAACCTTTGTATATTTGAAAACTTCCCTCGAAACAAATTATGCATGTAAATCAAAAATAAACTATATACAATCTATAAAAAATACATAAATAATACTAAAATAATACCAAAAAGGCAAATAAATAGTAAGTTTTAATTTAACCTACCTTCTATACATTTTGTATTTCAGAGAGTGGAGTAGCATTTGCTAAATTAAGTGAGGTTGAGTAGTAAATTAGTTCACAGCAATAATTAATCATTTATTTGTATGCAATTAAAATTTCAACTTTAAATTTGTATGAATAGAAAATGTTTCTTAATTCCAAATATTCCTTATAGTATATATGATATAAAGTATCTTTGGTTGGCTATAAAGGCTTAAATTATCTTACTTTGACATTTCCTTGTAAATTTCTAAGCTTTGAGTCTTTGGAGTTAATTCTAGATTGCTTCCCTGTAATTAAAAATAAAAATATTGAAATGATACTGCATTAAAGCATTATTCCTTATATCAGTTTTGATGATAATGAAGTTTTACTTAATAAAAACTACATGTACATTTTGGTTTAAGAAGTAAAATCATATAAACATTTCAAGTAAATAACATAAAACATAAATTTCATACTTTTGAAAGTAATCGTCAGCGAAGATATATTACATTTAGCACAAAAATTAAAGACCATTTTATTTTCAGAAATCCTTAAACATATTTTGCAGAGCATTAGAAAAAATATGCATTCAGGCTTAAGAAAAGTCTAGAATATTTTTTTAGGGGCAAGATTTTTAAGGGAAGGAAGAATGCTGCATCAGAACCTCATAATAGTATCTTAATTAGGATTAGATATATATTTTGGAGTAGTACTCACTTTTTAATAATAAATCTGCAGTCAGAGAATTCTTTTCATTTGTTTATCATAGCTATGTGCAGAATAATATATATATTATAACAAAACACATAGATTTAATTTGAAAAAAAAATTTTTTAAGCAACAGAGTTTTCTGATAAATTTTATATTCTACATATATCTGATACTCAAATTTAATCAAGAACTTTCTATTAATCATAGTGGATTTTCCTTGCTGGAAAAATTATTATTAAAAATGTAAATATAGTTTTTAATGTAAAGCTTATCTGGGATAATCTTTAATCATTATTATAATATATAGCAATGATACAGAAGACATTCATGAAATATAAACATCACATAATTTATTCAGATGGTTATTAAGCATTCAGGGCATGGAGTGACAATTGCAGGCTTAAGAGATCCTCAACTCTCCAACATGACCAAGATATCAGAAATGACATCAACCTCAAATATGAGACTCTCAAAATTTTCAAAGAGCCTTACAACATTCTGTGCCCTCTCCCCCAAACAAAAATTTATTTAAATCTCTTACAGCCTTGTACCAAGAAAGATCCCTCTGCAATAATCAAAGAAAAGGGTGACCATACCATTGAGGAACTCACGACCTTAACTCAAGATCTGACGATTGCCTATACAGACGGCTCTTCCGAGTCCAGTCTGAACAGAGAAGGAGCGGGAGTCTTTTTCATCGGACCAGACGGAGTGCAGAAATGCCACAGTATTCCTGTTGGGAAAATCGCCTCCAACTATACATGCGAGCTCGTCACCATCAAAAGTGCTCAGAAGATTTATCTCTCTAAAGAAGACCAGAGTTCCAAGGGCATCATCATCTTCTCTCATTGCAAATCAGCATTGCAAGCGATCCGGAAGGGCAAATGTCAACTCAGTCATCAGATCATTGAGCTTACAAACAAAATCATTGCTGCCCAAAGATCCTGCATCTTACAATGGATACCGGCTCATGTAAATATTTTTGGTAATGAGAAGGCCGATGAGCTTGCAAAGGCATCCCGTGATTCTCCTCAGCCATCCAACTGCCTAACCCTCGTTGATGCCAATGCAGTTGCCAGCCAAAGACTAATCGGTCAAGTTAAAGGAAACTCCATCCCGGAATTGAACTGTGACAGAGCCATATGGACTATCATAACCAGACTTAGGACAAATCACTTAAAAGGGATGAGGATTTCTGCAGACGGACAGCGTAGTTACACCAAACATTTGTCCTCATTGCCCAGATGACATCCCACTGTCTCGCCATCACATCTTCAGCTGACCAGCAATTCAGGCCAGACTGTTTAACATCGGCATTGAAGACCCAGTGGACCTACTTTATACTGATAGAGCTGCCGGTTGCAAAAGCTGTCTTTGACAGGACAGCTTCGAAGCTATATAATTGCACTTTGTCATAGACACGACATCATCATTAAGCATCCCATAATAGCAAATTCACGGCATGCATTATCTTTAGTTTGTAAAATTTGTCAGTAATTTTTTATTACCATTTTTTAATATTTGGAACCATGCTATATATTTTGCATTTTGAAACATTTTATTAATAAAATTAAAGTTCTCTATGTGTGTTTCTTACCTGAGAGATACTTTCAGAATCTTGATGAGGCAATGGGGGAAGAGGTCGATTAATCTATGCAAAAAAATAATAGTAAATAGCTTAAATATGTGAAATCCAAAAACATACATATGAAGTACGGTTTTCATTTGTTAAAATGACCATTCAGCTACAGAATAAACTCATTGGTAGAGTTACAACTAAATCAAAGTAATTTAGTAATCAGCTTCGACAATTTTTAGGGTTTTTCAATAGACCTCGTAAGGTAAAAATTAAATATTACATATCATATTAGGATTGTAAAAGTGTACTGGAAAGAAAAGATGCTTTTAAATAAAAAAATCACTAGTTTTATAGGAAATCAAAGTAACATCTTTAACTATCTATCTCTTGTTTTTTTTTAAAAAAATTATCTGCCTGAAGTGTATATAGACTGTAAATTTGATAATTTTGGATATGGCCGGGGGGGGGGAGGTAGCCTTTTTTGCATGATATCAATTCTGTAGATATGTCAGTAATACATATTATTGGTGACTAAATATAACACCATTCCAATCAATGTCTAGGAAAACATTATAATGTTAGTATTTATTACTTTTTACTTTATTTAATCATATTATCAAAGGTCTCTCTTCACGGCCATAAAATTGAATAGATTTTTTAAAAACATTTGTACCATCAGGGCTATTTAAAATGTCTTATCAATTTAGTTCTTAGCATAAATATTTGAGATGACTTTTTTTTTTTTTTTTTTTTTGAGTGCTAGTCAAATATACTGACTACTGTCTGTCTACGAGAACAGCTCCTGCCACAGTGTCTGGCGGGTGGCAACAGGCTAGTATATTTCAAATAAGAGCGAACCAAGGGGTACCAATTCATCTTTAAATGCACCAAGATGGCAAACTGAAAAGTAAATCCTCAAGACAACTCTACAGAAAATGGGTTAAGGCTCATTTCTATTGTAACAAACAGCTGTAGACTAACTGGTGAGAGCTTTACTTATGATAGACAGACTGTACTAAACCATAAGGATACAAGGAAGAAATGAGATCTAACAAATCAAGGTAGTAAATAGTTAACTCTGCCACATTTTATTTTGAGTGCACTAAAGACTCATTAGGTTTTCTGTAGCAGGAAATTTTGAAAGCTCAGCACTGCTTTTGCCAGGAATCAAGTCCGATGCTTCCAGTGCTAGCTAATTGTGATGATCACATCACACCACAAGGACACATGAAAGGCATGCCTAAGTTAAATATTGTAATTCCTTACAATATTTTTTTTTTTTTTTTTTTTCAATAGAGCGTAATTCAAGCGTAATTCATATCTCATCTTGAGTTACATGTTAGGCTTGCAATTTAAATGTGCTTACAGAAAATAAGATTCTCTTTAGTAAGCTATTTTTTAAGATGGTAGCATTAAAATTGGTCGCATTAATCATCCCCCCCCCATTTTATCACATGTTTAGATTTTAAAATAGCATTTTAGTGGCATCCTTTAAGGAAAAACAATAACTCACTAAAAGCAGTAAATCATATATTACATGATTACTCATACTTGCCAGTTAATGGTCATTAACTGGCAAGTACATAAAACCATATTTAAATACTTCCATTAAATGAGTTACAAAACCATCATCTGTTTCCTTGACCACGAAAAAAAAGGGAATGAATTTTAATTTTATCTTATAGTAATAGAAAAATATAAGGGAAAATGATTTTAATCTGTAGATAAATTATAACCTTTGCTTGCAAAAAAATATCCATATAATTATAGCTAAATTAACTGATAATTTAGTCAGAACAAACTCTAAAAAGATATAATTTTAATCTTAAATATGGAATATGGTCTAATTCTGGTAGGCTTTTATATTATTACTTAGAGGTGTAAAAATTGATTCTCAATTAAACAGCACCAAAAGTAATTTCAGTGATAAATGTCATGTACAAAATCTACTACAAATATAGAAAGATATTTTCTTTGTTATCACACTCAGCAACATGACTTCACAATATGCTTTTGAAAACTAGAATCTTCACTGTGCACTAATATCGATGTACAAGGCTCCCAGGCTTAAAATCTAATATTACACACTACATGTGCATGAAACATTATGACCATGTTTGATAGATACTGAAGAGAACAACTGTTGTTGGTTTATATTACAACTTAAGTATAAAACAGATTTTTTACAAGAAAAGTTAATTCAGTAAGAGAGAGCATACAAAATTTTGCATATTATTGCAATGATTATGATTGATTTATGAATAGTGACAGATCATAAATGATTCACTAAAAGGAAAAATAGAAGAGCCAATAGTAGAACTAACACTAATTTTACTTCATTAAATGGGTTCCTTTTAACTTCACAAATGTGAGCCACATTTTTTTTTTTTTTACTTACATTTTTCTTTAGAAAATTTAAATCTATATTTTCAAACTTCTTTTGGCATAGAAGATATATTTGTTTACACAAAAAATAAATTAATTTTGCAAAAAAACTTTAGGAGCTGCATTATTTAATGATACATATCATTTTTTTCTTCATTCATTTATTTATTTATTTAAGAAAAAGTAAATGTATATTTTCCTCCCCAAGTTAAAACTAGTTTATTTCAAATGAATGAAATATTATTTATATAAAGTCACAAGAAGACAAACAAAACTACTTTTACATTTTAGATATCAAAAGGTTTAATTATATTTAGTGCAAAATATATTCTGGACTAAGTCTAGTATTCACAAGTGTTTCAATTCATTAATTCCACAAAAATTAACAAGCTAACTGAATTAGATGTAGAAGTGTCAAGCTTCTAAACAGATTAATATTTCATTTATTTAAGCAAAATATAAAATTACTGGATCACATTTTAATAGTTTAAAAATTACTAAACTTAAATCTTTCAATAGAAAAGTTTAGAAACATGTAGTTTTAATTAATCTGCAATGTCCTGTGGAAATTGTCCAAATAAAAATGCCATTAGAGTTGAATTTTCAAGTTCTCTTTTAAGTATTTCTTAGCAAGCATATTTACCTTAAACACTTTTCTCCTTACCATTGCACTGCAATCTGTATTCTGTTTCATTCTTTGTTCATATAGCTCTTCTTGATCTTCTTGTGGATAAAAACCATTTCGTTGTTTGTGTTTCCTCTGATGCTCAAGTCTTAGAATTTGCATTCTTTCTTGCCTACTTTGAGGAGATATTGCTGTAGAACTTTGGCTTGGATGTGGAGAAGAAGTACCAGAACGTGGAAATGTGAATGATGGTTTCGATGATAATTGTCTGTTTACAGAGTGATTATACTGTGTTGTTTGTATCAGTCGCTGACGTTCAACAAGTTCCTGATATTGCCTCTGAATCCTGCACAAGCAAAATGGATTAAAAAATATAATTTATATTATTTGGAAATAATTAAAGCATATCATATATCAAAGGATCTTTTTCATGTACTGGCACTGAAATATTTAATTTACTTTTTGCATTTTCTTCTTATAAAGACTCCATTTTTATGCAAGAAGATGCTACACAATATTAAATAAGATTTTCTGCATAGCGTATATAGCCACATTAGTTGAAGCATTAAAGGCTCGTCCACACGACTATGCTTGAAATGTAGCTGACAAAAGCGCATTTGTGTTATCAGCGAAACAGTGTCCAAACGAATACGCTTGCGAAGATTGTGTTTAACCAATAGAATTATTTGCCGCAAAAAATCAAATGATGCTGAATATAGCATTGTTCAACGGAGCTGCCATCTTGTTACTTCGCTGTGTTTCTATATGTTTGCGGCAAGACGTCAGAATCAGATGATTTTTTGATAGCTGAAACTTTATTATCAACTACAATCATTAAGCAGAAGCAAAAACGTAAAAAACGGCAAAAGTGGGTCCAAAAGATTTATATAGAGTGACCTGTTCAAAAAGATTTTTTTTCTTTACTGCCTCATTTGTGAAATGAATATCCTGAATTATTTTTTAATTACTTCAGGATGAGTATTGACCAGTTTGACAGGCTTGCAGATTTTATATTGCATGAAAATTAAGATTTATATTATTGGTTTGGAATACAGTATATAAAGAGAATTAAATTACTTGAAACACCATATAATAAGATCAACTTCACATTTTTTAATCTTCCCCCCTCCCTTGGTTTGCTTGTTTATATGGGGGAGTATATGTAAAAGAATTTTTGTAATAAGTAAAACTTTCTATAATTTGATATTTTCTATACATTATCACACAAAAAAAATTAGAAAAAAAGTTCATCCAAAGATATGCTATCTAAAGATATGCTGATTTTAAATATTTTTAGCACAATGTGACATTTGCCCAATTGCTCTCGAAAAGTGTATGTGCCTGTAAATGGAAAGAAAAACAAAAAGAGGAAAACGCCCATTTGTGCGTAATATAAAATCTGAAAGCTTTCAGACTTTTTCTTTTTATTAATTATTTTCTTTATTTATTTTTGAATTTAGAACAAGGTTCAAACTTTGGACAGTTTATGTAAAATTATGTGCAGGATAAAAATATGCAATAAGGTAAAAATAAAAAGATAATTTATTCAAGCGATGATATATTGTTACATAAGTAGTTAATGATTTCTATTTGCAGTGCACATTTTTAAACTAAATTAAAAATAATAATAGATAAAATAAGAAATGAAAACAATAATAATAATAGGTAAAATAAGAATATAATGATTAATGATTAAATAAAAGAAACACGTTTCAGAATGAGAAAAGCTAACTTTGATTTACAGTGGTTATGGGTGAGGTTTGAACTTGCAACCTTTCCCTTTACAATCCAGTACATTGACCACTGAGCTATCTGTGATAGTAGTGTTTATGAAAAATAATGCAAGAAGTAGAAATCACTGCAGAGGCAATTTAATTAATATTCAATAAATGATTGCCATATGAGCTAAGATGTAACTGTCCTCGAAAATTTCGTAATTGTATTTTATTTAATACTCTTTAACAGTCAACTGCTTTATTTTAGAAGTTGTTATATTGTTGAAGTTCGTTTTTGGTGTATTTAATATTGTGATATTTATAGAGCTTTTTGTTGCATATGAAATAATGAATATTTATAATAAGGAGAATTTTGTAAGGCAGAAACTTTGATTTTGTAGAAACTGTAATTTATTTATGTTCCTAGTACTTACGGTGTTATAAACAGGTGAAGCATATGGATATACTGGTCGGATCATTGCTTTATAAATATACAGATTTTCCCCTTTAATGAGAATTTGAAATTATACCAATATATATGGTTTGAGAAATCTGAGGATGCCATAAACATTGCTGATTATTTGATTTCTGTATACAGTTACGATCTCTTTAAGCAAAAATTCATCTCTGTGTGGTTCTGACGCCATATTGAAATGGGGTAAAGCAAGAAGGTTTTCTGATTATGACACGTGATAAGAATTCGGTCTGCGATTGGCTGTTCATTCACGCTGTGGACGAAAAAGCTGAACAGTAGCGAACTCTGTTTTACGTCTTCTGCGTAATGCGAATTTACGGCGGTGGAAAAAAAATTTCGTCAACTATGTTCGAGCATACTTATGTGGACGGGCCTTAATGGTTTCTTCTACAAGAAGTAATGGTACATGGTGCTAAACAGGTTTCAATTAAGAAGCAATGATCCCTATCCAGAATTTTTATCATGGCTAACTGGTTGTTTCTTTTTTTTTTGTTTTTATGAGGAATTATAGGATGATCTGGAGCTCTTCTAACATTTGAGATGCTAGATTTGACTTTGTGACCAGTAATCAAAGCTATAGTACAAGGATATCTCTCACATTAATATTCATTTTCTTTCATGATATAAACTACACTGAATATAGTATCCAAATAACAAATGAAATAATTTAAGCTAAACTGCATTTAGACAGTCAGTACAACTAGTAAGTGTTTTATTATTATAAATGTTTTCTCTAATTCCATGGATGGCTATTCAATAATTACAGTATTGCCTCCAGGCAAAAAGAAATCAAAATGGGACTGTGGGCAATATTGCTCAGTGATTGGGCACAGGCATTCTGGTTTATGGCCAGATGACTTCTATCTATGGCCTATTCGCCCACCGTCCTGAACACTGCATACCATTCACAGCAGCTCTTATCCAATTTTCCAGTGTCATATATTTGTTTTCAGGCAAAGATTTTTTTCGTAAAAAATCATTTATTCTGTGTTAATTCAAGCTATTTGACATTTTAAATTAACCCCTTTAAAATGAGTAATTCCTCAAGCTATTTACCCTATAATTCTAGATAAAAAGCAATATTCGTATAAAAATTTATAATTTGATTAATAAATCATTTCTGGTCTATACTTCCATTTTCAGTTATATTGCTTAAAATAGTGTGTAAACTTTATGGTAGAAATGCACAATCGGTTCTTTCTTTAAATTTAAAAATAAGATTATTAATTCCTTCCAAAATTAAGAAAGAAGAGACATATATTTTAACCAAGACATTATCAATTTTGAGGCCAAGATTCCATCGATTGTTTAACCAAGAATCTATCGATTTTAAAGGTGTTTCTTCCTAATGCTTTTAAAATGCCATTAACTTAACTTTTCACATTTCTTTACTATTTCTGTGGACAGATAGTACTACCTTTTCTTTCATTTTACTCTTGCCTTTCGTATAAAAACAGCTCACTTCTTTGCAGAATTTCATCTCTCCCAATGATAAAGAACCTGCACCTCTTGCCCTTAAAATTGATAGAATCGTGGTTAAAATATACTTCAAATAAAAGGTTGTTGCTTTGCCTAATTTCATGTCCCAAAATTTTGAAACTGTTCTTTTTTCCAATTGTTTTTATTGAATTATGAAACAATGATGCTTTTGTTTGGAGGAACAGAAGCCAATTTCACCTTGTTTATTTAAATTTTTTTTAAAAAACCTTTGGACACTTATCAATTCCAACTGTGGATAGTAGAACTAGCAGTCTTGTTTTGGATATCCTTAGTAATTGTATTCTACCTCTGCGTCAGCAGAAATATCCTTAAGATTTTCTGCTAAAATCATGTAGCCATATCATACATTTATACATTGGGAGTGAAGAGGTTAAATTTAAAAATACTAAAACATGAAATATTTACATCATATAACCTGTTTTTATAACTGGAGGTATTTATCTGTAACCAGCAGTTGGTAAAAAAAATGCCAAGTAAGTTTTTCGATGATGTTTATAAGCATCAACTCTTCAAGTATTCTAAGAATTTAAGTTACTGCAATATATACATGCTTTCATGTAAATTTTAAAAAACTAAACATTTCTTGAATCTTAATATTAGTTGCCTTTGAATAATGGATATATATATTTATTTATATTACAAGAAATGGCAACCAACAAAGATGCAAGATTTACACACATATGAATTACTGCTTATGCATTCATCAATAAGTTACTTAATTAAAATTACTGTTATTAATTGAATATCATACCTTTCTTGTTCATCCTGAGTAGCTTTTTTACTTTGTTGAGGTGTTGTCTCAAGTTTTTGTTCTTTATCAGTAGAAACAGCTGAACCTTTGACACTTTTCTTGCTAGATTTACCAAACCTGGATGAAAGTTTTATGAATTCATAAACAAATATTATGTAACAGGTTTTAAAGCAAATGTTACTTTACAAAAATAAATGTAAATTCATGCAAATGAATAATTTTTATTTTTGTAACTATTTTTTAAAAAATTTTTCGTATTAGTTTTATAAAAAACAGTTTACTCTCTGAAAAATTATATACCGACAGAATAAAATAAAATTTCATATAAAGAAATTATATTGTGATGTTTTTAATCATTGATAGAAATTATGTTAAAGAATTATTCTTAAAGTACAATGCAGAATACCTAAAGACAGAACCAAGGCCTCGAAAAAGTCCTTTCTTTTTTGTTGATTTTTCATTTTTCTTCCCAGCTTCTGGAACTACAGAGTTGATGGTTTTGGCACGTGTATGGTTACGGTTTGTATTTGTTAAGTGTCTCCCTTCATCACTCGCAGCATCTACATAAAAAATATTTTAATATTTTTTTAAGGTTACCATTTGTAATAAATCAATCATATAGATAATGGCTATACAAATTCTAAATCCCCCCCCCATATTTATTATTTAAACTATGTTGTAATTGAAATTTAAACATCATTCTTTAATAAGGTAGGGTAAAAAAAATTATCCTTGGACTGAAAGTTTAAAAGAAAAATTCTATGCATTTTAAAGGAAAATTCTATTCTAAATTAAAGAAAAATTCTATGCATTTTAAAGTAAATGGATACAGGCCTTAAAAAAAAAAAGGAGCAAAAATATCATGCACAGTATCTAGATTTAAAATAAATACGTAAATAACCATATGTACCTATTTGCATGGTTTCAGATAAAGTTAATATTTTGTGAAAAAGGTTGTACTAGAGAATATGGTTATCAGTTACATTTTTAAATTATATTATGAGTTAGCTGTTTTTAGCTGACTTTAGCTTAGATGATTGCTTCACAAAGTTTCATTATATATTATTATTTAAAATCTAGATTTGAAAAACATTTTATCGCAGAAGGCTTTTATGGTACCGTAATTTCCGGAAGAAACGCCACAGCGTTTACGTGTTTAAAGCTTAAATTTTCAGCGGATGCGGCGTTTCTACCCATGCGGCGTTTAGGTGCACTAAAAATAAAATATTTCCTATGATGGTCATTGTACATAGTTTGGATGGCCTTGTCATTGTGCATAGACTGGTGCTGTTCCCACATAAAAGACCACTCAGTTGCTTTTTGCGAACGTTATTTTGTTTACATTCTTTCCCTTGAACGGACCTACATGCCTTATTCACCCTAACGAGATCTCAGAACAATTCTTCCCCCTTTCAAATCAACATTCTCATCAATTTGAATAGTTTCTCTCCTCTGCCATTCAATGAATCTTCCAGGACCCATCCTCTCCCCACCCCTCCCTTTTCTGCAATTTTTTTCAAAGGCGGACATGACTCCACCTGTGTCGCAATAATGAACTCTGGCGTATTTCCCCTTCAGCATGAATGGATTTTTCTTGGCATTCTGCCAAATACAGATCCCATCGGTTTGGGTACAAGTACTTGTTGGATAGTTTTTAAGTAAGAAGGGAGCGGAAAATTTTTGAAAATGTCTCTAAACGGCACAGAAGCTGTACATTTCTTACCTTTAATTTATTTTTTGAGTTATGGTTTCATTTCATGCATTTTTCTTAACTGGTATGTCATATATCAGGACTTAGGTTGAGTTTTTGCATCTATACGGCCCACGCCGATGTCACGCGCAATTTAATCTATTGCGGCATTTACGCTGTGCGGCCGATGCGGCCTTTCTGTGTAATTTAAATTTTTTCCCCGCCATTTTTCTCGATGTTTACGCTGATGCGGCCTTTCTTCCGGAAATTACGGTACTTTCTTTTACTTATGTTTACTTTCTCATGGTGATACTTTCTTTTACTTAAAATATTGATTCCAAATCCCATAGTTGCAACTATCTCAAGGATTTATTAATTTAGAGAAGCTATGAAAACTGGAAATGATATTTATAAGGAGGCAGAAATGGTGCCTAATTTCTTATAATAGCTAACAGGCATATTATGTAATTCTCAATATTTAAAGGTACTGTTCAGAACATTAAAAGATGAATTTAAAGAACAACTTTTGTAACAATCTATTATTATACAACAGTCACATCATACATTTTGCTACTCTGATCCATGTAATAGTTAGCATTGCTGGCTACCCTATCAGCAGGTCCAGGTTCCTGGAGAAAGCTTGGATGTTTATAAGTGTGTACTATATGTACAGTATGGGCCAAAAGTCCTCTCATGGATATAAAATACTGAAAAGCCAAAAGTCCTCTCAAGAGTAGTAGCAGACCCTTGGATCTCTTCCCTGAGGTGGTCTCCATTAAAACTAGAACACAACTTCCTGCTTGTCATAGATGTAAAATCAGCTGCCTCGTGTGATGTGCCTTGGGCAGTGTTCTTGGAGATGAGATGGCTTAAATGACCAATGGATACAGGTTTTCTCAACTTGTACTTAGCTAGTAAAGTATTCAACCATTGGAGAAAAATAAATTATGCATTATTTGATTTTTTTTTTTTTTAAATTATGGGACATACTTATTACTTATTTTTATGTTTTGTATTTAATATATGAGCATTACGTATCAAACACTTGTTGTATATATTTTACATGGAATTTAATTTCAAGCACAGTCTCTAATGCCATTCAGTATATATGGTGATGGAATATCCTCCGCTGTTGCCAGTCAAGCAATGTAAACTTTTTTTCTACTACAGATGTTGCCAGACTTATACTCGAAAAATGTGAGAGGCACAATAACTTTTTATTAACTCTGCTACTGTTATGGGGTTGTCTCTAAATGTAAAGTTTCCAAAAAATGGTAAGATTAAATCTTATTTTCCTGATTATAATTCCAAAATGACCTTTTAACTTTGCATACTGACTCTTACGGCAGTTAAAAAATGATGGCAGCAAAGAGGAAGTATTTGACCTCTACTTCTGTTATAAATTACATCTCTTGCACACATATGTATCATACATATGTATACAGGAAATCTCCATATTAAGAGGAGCAAAGTATCTTAAGAGCATCTGTAACTTGGATTTGTTCATAACTTTAATTCCTTACTGAAAAGTACATATATGGTAATAATAAAAGTAACACATATAACCCTGTAACTATTTATATGTTGTAATAATAATACAGTGCCATAAATAATACATGTACAGTATCAATAAACTAAAAATCGAGTTCTGCTCAGTGTATACTGTTTGATTCAATTAAATAAAGTCAAAGGAGCAATTCTCATTTGTATGCTTCGTGTCTCTAGCTTCTTTAGCATTTTCAGCTCCAGTATTATTTATTTTATCTCTATGGGGAGCCCATTCATGACTATGAAACAGTCTAAATGAATTGGTAATAATCTGAATACTATTGTATATATTTTTTACTAAACATGCATTATGAAAACGTCATCGAATTTAGGTTATTAATACATAAAGTTGCCGTAGAAAGTGATATTGTTAATCCTGTGACATACTTTCAGTTTCTCTCATTAATTTCTGTACACTCTAACTATGTTGTTGATATATGCAAAACTAGATCAAGTTAAGCTTTTCCTAATTTATGAAGCAATCAAAAACAGTTTTTGCAAATTAAATTAAATTATAATAGCATGAAAAATCAGTCTAATTAACAAACAAATACATGTAAATTAACTAACAGAAGTATATGTACTTTAACATAAGAATATTTTCACTACACCTTTGAAAATAGCTGAAAATTTCAAAATATGCTTAAAAAGATTTAGGAAACTGTTAGTTCTCCCTCCTCCTCATTAACTGGTAGATATGTTAAGACACAATAACATGCCGAATAAATACTAATTCAGAAGTCAAACAACAAAAATCAGCGTTATATTTACAAGATTTTCACAGGACTAGTTTCAATGGTTTTACCGAACCACCATCCTCAGCTGCAAAACTGCAAATGAACAAGATAGGAAATAATGATTAGATAAGATAAGAGAGCCTGAACAAGAAAAGCAAGTGGCGCCATCTGTTGGTGAAAACAGAACTAAAACATAATTTCTTTAAAGGCCGAAGGCAAATTTGGATTGGAATTAGGATCATTAACTAGAACAGAAAGATTTTTATGAATGTGAAATGCCTCTAGAAAATCCAGTTCTCCAATGGAAGATGTTTTTTGAATAATTTTGGCAGCAGAAAAATTGAAAGTGTGATTTTCGGACCAACAATGTTGAGCAATAGAACACTTCTGTGTTTCCTTTTTTCTAACATATGCCTCATGTTCCTTGATGCGAAATTTTAAGGCTCTTTAGTTTGGCCAATGTAAATTAAACCGCACTGGCAAGGAATCCTATAAATACCCCAGAAATTCATATCTGGAATGGGGTCCTTGAGTACAGAACTCGGAATTTTATTTAATTTTAATTTAAACAACCCAAAAGTGAAAATTCTGCAAAATATGTGCAACTTTATAGCTAATTGTTGGAAAGAAGGGAATGACAACACAATTTTTATAATCTCCTAAAACAAGAAAGTGCCTTTTAGTGTGTTGAGATGAGAATTTTTTAACTGCTTGATTAATAATGTTGGGTGAGAAGCCCCTGTCAATTTGCCTTCGGCCTTTAAAGAAATTATGTTTTAGTTCTGGTTTCACCAACAGATGACGCCACTTGCTTATTCTTGTCCAGGCTTTCTTATCTTATCTAATCATTATTTCCTATCTTGTTCATTTGTGGTTTTGCAGCTGAGAATGGTGGTTCGGTAAAACCATCGAAACTAGTCCTGTAAAAATCTTGTAAATATAACGCTGATTTTTGTTGTTTGACTTCTGAATTGATAGATATGTGTCTTTCTAACGTTTTCATTTTGAAAGTAATAAAACAAAAAGCTATAAGACAAATATAGCTTACGTTCAATCTGGTCTATGGCTTCAAATGACTTGTCTACTGCAGCTCTAAAGCTCTCATTGCAACCTCTACTTGAACATGCACTTGTTCCCAAAGGCATATTTCTCTTCTGTTGTTCCTGTATCATAGTCTGAAGACTCTCTAGACTACTTGATTTATAAAGCCCAAGTGAAGGACCAACTTGAGTGCAAGTTCCTTCACTGCTGCCACTCTCTCGACCTGTAGTTGGCACAGCATGATAGGGACAATCTGGAGAATTGCAAGACCCTGAAATGCAAAAATCATTAAAATATAATTCACTTAACAGATGCATTACGTTTTCAATGACTAAGTATTGCAATGAGGTTGTATTTATAAAAATTTATTTCAAATCAGTCATAAAAGTCTCATTAATAAATTCTGCATGAAATTAGTATAGTGTATTGACAGTCAGAAAATTTTTATAAATTAATTTTATTATATGAAGCTAAAAATTTATGGTTTATTTATTATTTTTATTTAGAGTTATTTATTTCACATCGGTTCTCCTCCATATAGTTACAAGAAATTATATATCCATGTAAGAAACAAACTCTGCTTTGATGAAAAGATCTTGGAGATTTTTATAATTAAACGTTTCACAATTTATCTTGGAAAAGTAGGGCTTGTAAAAAATTTGAAACTTTTAAAATTTCATTTATTAATAGTTAATTGTTTTTATCATTTTTCTTCCAACTAATATTAAATACTTGAACACAATGTCATTAATTAAAGTGATTCCTCTTATGTTGTAAACATAAGATATCCCTCTTATGATCTAAATATAAGATGTAAATATAATTTATATTTTATATGATTATTTTTCTAACAATAACTTCCATATTTCATGTTCAAGTATCTAGTTTTAGATTCTAACTTAAATTTTTGTACATGTATTTTATTTAGTATGCTAGGTTGTTCAGAGTTTAACTGAAGAATTTTGTATTTATTTATTTCTTTATCATGCAAAACTAATTTCTGTAAACATTTTTTATCTCATATTAATTTTCTACTATCTGTTTAAGTCAGAGAGAGTTTCGAAGTCATCAGACATTTAACATCTCTTGTATTTTGAATTCTACAAATGAATATACAAATCATCATTTTTTATATTTTTTAAAGTAAGCCTGAAAAGATTTCAATACCGTTAGAATACAAACACATTAATACAAAATCGATACAAAAATTGTATCAAACCATTATTAATTATACAGTATTCAAGTTATTACATTTTAAAATTTCTGTGATGATCTTTTTAATTTCTAGTTCAATTACTATACAATGTAACTTTGCAATAATATGCTATATATAAGTGCAAAAGAATCGAGTGCTTTAAGTGTTAGAAGAATGCTACCTACAACAACACGTTGGATAGAAGACAGTAGTTCGCTGAGCTTTTTCCACTGCCAACCCATTGTTGGAAACTATACAAAATGCAATTCAGGGTCAGAATGATTAATAGAATATACACAGAAAGAACATGAAGGACATAGTGTTTAGTAAAGATCAAAGTATCAACACCAAAAAGATTAATAACTTAATTAAAACATTTCATGCATAAACCAAAAGCCACATAAAAAGTTGCATGCATGTTACCACTGAAAGAAAATGTTATTGAAAATTTTTACAGAATAAAACTATGTTTAATGTTGTAATTTCCATATCAGTAAAACTGTTGCTTTTTGTATTCTCCCAAATCACATAAAATCTTAAATATTCTGATGATAATATTACAGTGTCATATTTTGATTACTAATAATAATACTTAAATCATGCCTTTTCTTTAAAATAAATATCTGATGTAGACACCACATCACCTTGTATGGCTGGTTAAATTATACACATTTTTTGCTGCACTTCATTTTAAACTTATTTTCTTCAATTTCATTAGAGGTATATTTTTAATTCAATCAAGTCAGTTAGTTCTCATTTTGTGGCGAGGCAAAAATATATAAAAACTCAAAACATCTTCATTAAAAATTGTAAAATACAGAAAAACCTAAAACATCAAGCACAGTTTTTACAATTAAAATTAAAGTTTTCTATGTCAAAACAAGCAATTCAGCCAATGTGGTGAAGGCCAAATTTTCAGTACGCAAAACTGAAAGTTAACTTTTGATTCTACTGTGCAAACAGACACTGAAGTTCGTGCAAAAACTGACTTAATTCACTACAGTTACTAAATGACTCTCTAAAAGTTTCAAATGTAAACGAATACTGGCCTCGTACTAGTTTAAGAATTAGTGCCTCAGAAAATTAAAGAAAAAATTTTAGCGAGTTGATCAAATGGTAAGGAAAAAATGCTATGCTTCTTTCATTATAAATTATTGCCACATGGAGAGTTGTACTCTTATTTAATATAAAATTAAGATTTAATTATTCAAGAAAACAATATGCATTTATTTCATTGAATCAACTATTTTCTTCAGGAAGCGCTGTACTTTCAATTTTGTTAGGACAAAAGATACACAAAATGAAAATAACAAACTTATTTTACTTTTAAAAGAACCATTTATGGACTGTTTAAAAAGATTCAGCTATTCAACAGAAGACATAAGCAACATAGTAGCCTGCTGCTGTTTTTACACTAGGGGGGGGGGACATATGCCAAAATTTCTCAATCATAAGCATGTAATTTATAAATAATACAAAAAACAGATAAATGCAAAAACATATTGAATTACTTGATTCTGGTTGAATTCCTAAATCTGTTTTCTGTTTTAAATTGTTTTCATCAAGTTATATGAACTACTGCTGTTTTATTATAATTACTGAGAGAGAAATTTCTGTGTATTTTAATATTACAAAATATAATAAATATACAGTAAACACTTGCTAAACATTGGGTTATGTTATCAACACATTGCACATAAAGCAAAATCCCATTCTGCAAAGTTAACTTTCTATGGAAAAAAATAAGTTAGATAGATATAATTCAGATTAAGAAAGTACATATACTTTATTCAAGACCTGTATATTTTGATGCAATGTTGTAAAGGCTTCAGCATTGTGTTCTGGAGCATTATTAAGAATTAGGAGAACTTTTGTGCTCAAGTTTTCTGGTTTAGTTTCTTTAATGCATGCACTTTCAAACCAATCATTAAAGAGAGCTTTTGTCACCCAAGCATTTCTATTTCACTTCTACACAACCGGCAACAGCTCAAACTCCTCCCCCTGCAATGCAGAAGGCATTTTAGATCAATAAATGAGCAGGTGCTTGCATCTGAAGTCGTCTGATGCATTTCCGTAAAAAAGCAAAAGGAGTCCATCCTTAAAATTTCTGAAATCTGGAGTTTTGTGTCTTTATGATGTAGGTTTGTTGTCCCATTCACTTATAAAATAGGCCCGTCTCACATATAGTGAAAACTTGTGAAATGTAATATTATCTTCAATTAATTTTAAAAAATGAAGTCTGAATTTCTTTGCTGTTTCTTTATCTGCAAAGCCAGCTGCTCCCTAAAACTTTACATTGTGCATATTAAAGCAATCTTTAAAATTTTCAATCAAACCTCTGTTTGCTTGAAAGTCAATTTTCTTCGAAGACCATCTATCTTTACTTAAAGCAAAAGGACAACAAAATCCAAAGTTTTGTTTTGAATAGCAGGACCACCCAGTATTGAACCTTTCTTGTTTACTTGATTCCCAATCCAAGCTATTAACATTTTTTCCAACTGAGGAATTCTTGAAATTTGAGCAACTGTTGCCAAAATATCACCTGAAGCTTTGACACTAGACTGAATCTTTTTTTTATTTTCCCATGTTGTTTTTATGCTTGGTTCATTTATAGCTAGTTACTTTGCAAGCAATGAAACATGTAAAGAACTCTTCAATTTTTTTGAAATAATGTCAACATTTTGTATTTTTTGATGCTTTAAATTACCTTTATTCTTCCTTTTAGATGTTATACTGAACTTTTAAATTAAAAGACATACAAAGTTGAGAAGAGGACTAAAAAATACATGATCACGGCTCTGACAACATGAGTAAAATTATAACAACTCAACCTGGGTCACTCAGCTAAACAGCAACACCAAGCAGGATTGCCATATGTTCATATGGGAGTTATCTTGTAATGAGCAAGGCCAGTTAACAAGTAAGGTTACACTCTTTTCAACGACAGAGTTCTATGATGTCTCTTATAGAAATGGTCAAAATGAAGACTCAAATGAAACAGTTGCTTTTGAGCAGACTTATAAGTCAGTGGTGCAACATGCTGAAAGATTTCTCTTCGGGAGAATAAACCACGTAGTATGCCTTTAAGTTAAAGAGCACATTGTTATCACAGTGCAGCTAACATGCTCTGCAGTGTACCACACAGTAACTGGAATTCTTGCATTGTACAAATTAAACAGAGATAATTAAGGAAATACATATATGCAAAATCACATTCTACAAGTACACATTTGAGAACGGTTTACTGTATGCTCTCTATATTAAAATAGCTGAATGAATCCTGTTTAGTGAATATATTTTAACAATTATATAATAGTATATCACAGAATAAGAAACATTATAATGGCATTTCTGATAACTACAAGTGTGTAGCTGTATTGCTCAGGACTTCTATATAGTTATGAAGACAAATTAGATAAACTACAAATTATTAATATAAAAATAATTATTATCTGGTTAAATGAAAAACAATAAAAACACCACTTAACCCTTTTAGAATGTGTGTGGGTGGAATTTACTGAGAGTGGAAAATGCTGACTTTCATTCTGTTTCACAGCTTTTAGAATATTATAGACTTTTTTTTAAAACAAATACATCCTTATCTGACAGAATAAATAACTAATTATAATAATCTTTGTAAAAGATTCAGAATTCAGTTACATTGCATGTTTAGAAATATATAAAAGAAATTTACTTTCATGTGGTCCTACATCGACTGGTATTTCTCTAGCATGATAATGTTGGCAATAACTTTAATTGTTGAGGTACAGTCACCCATTCTATTCTCATGCATAATTCCTATTTGGTAAATATTTAGTTGTCTAATGAACTTGCAAAATGTTCTTTTTATTTTTGGTATATATATATATATATATATTTAATCAAAGCAGAAATCGTGAGTTAAATAAAAATAAACAGAATCAGCTGTTAACTGTGTCAGCTGATATAAACCCATGGGGAAGTTCTCATGCTTCTGAATAATTTTTGTTTTTATTTTTGGCAATAATGAGATATATTTCCTATTTATTATGTTATGTTAGAGGCTTTATTCACTTCTTTTAGAGTTTGGTTAGTGCTGAGGTAAATATTTTGTATATTGTGTAGCAAAACATTTTTCATACTTCAAATGGCAAGGAAAATATAATGATAAAAGTTTTCAAATTTATTATAATTCATTATGAGTGTTCCTCTCATAATGTAACAAAAACTGAAACAGTTAGAGCATAAATATAATTTATGTGATTTTTTTTCCCAAAGTTAGGCTTAATGGTGCTAATTTCCCATCCCAACAAGATAGTGCATACAGACAGCCATGTTGTCACAAGAGAGTAGTTCAATACCTGAGGCACCCATCCAGAAAGGGTTAAAGAATTTGATTTCTTTAAATTATTAAGAACTAAAAAATTATCATAAAAATAATACCTTTAGCTCCATTTGGTGTCTTTGGCTGAAATTTCACATACGCTGAAAACACAAGAATATATTATTGCATTAATAAATAAAAAATAAACAACTGAATTTAATGTAGAGTGTTTGTATACATGTAATTTATGTATACAATAAGTAACTCTTTTCTTAATCTTAATTACATAGTCTTACAAAATCAGTTTTCAGAACAGTATTATAGACAAAAAACACATCCTTGTTTGACAGAATAAACAAATAATTATAATAATCTTTGTAAAAGCTTCAGAAGTTATTTACAATACATTTTTAAAAATACATAAAGAAAATTTACTTTCATATGGTCCTACATCAACAGGCATTTCTCTATGATGATATTGTTGGCAATGACTTTGTTGGAGATTATGAGTTGAGGTGCAGTCATCTATTCTATTTTCATGCATAATCCTATTTGGTAAGTATTTACTCCTTTGATGAGCTTGTAAAATTTTCTTTTCAGGCATACTTTGCCTACCAAAACCACTGCGATTAAAGTGGCTGTCCATTGGTAATCTAAAATTTAGAAAGGAATTTTATTGATTAATTAACAGCAATTACAAGATTAAAAATAAAAAGTCTTAGAAATTTTTTTATGCTTTTAACAAAGATCATCATATATGTAATTAATTATATGACCATTCAAATATCTAATTTCAGAATCAAAATGAAATATTTTATGAACTAAAAAATATACAAAGAATCAAATTTCAAACTGCTGTAACACGAAAATTATTTTTTAAATTTAAAAGCAACAGTTAAATAATTTTTTAATCATTGATTTTATCCTTTTTTCAGTATGGCATTTGTAATTTAGCCTTGATTTTTCAACTGTATAACAAATTTTACTCATAAGATTGCTATACTGTTTATATTATTATTAATTTTTTTATTCTTATCTGTACAGCTGGTAACATTTAAGAAACTAATGTTCACATGGTGCCTGCGTTAATGACAGATATCGCTAGCATAGTTTTATATGTTTTTCACCCTTACACAACTAGTAAAATCACAACCTTTTACGACAGAACTTATCAGTTTGTTGAAATTAATTATTTGAATTAATTAAGAAAATTCATTAGGTAGACATAATCAAATACAGAACAGAGTGAATCAAAATACAGAGTAAAGTAACGTTTTAACATATGTGGTATTAATTGAGAGTTGCATGAAAGTATAAATAAATATTTGTTCTGAGTGGAAAATAAAATCATACCAACTATGCCAATAATTAGGTTTTTGTTTACTGAATTTTTAAATTGCACAAGAATATCAAAATGTATTACATTCTAGTGTTTCTGCTACACTTATTTAAATTTTTCCCTCCATGTCTAGATAAAGATATTAATCATATCCATTTGTTCTAACCATAAATCGTACATCAAGAGCTGTGTTTCACTTTTTCCCCACCAGTTTTAGTTCCCAGTGACTCCTCTCTGTTCTTTAAATTTAAAAATGATGCTGAAAAGAAGAGATTCAGCATCATAAACAAAATCCTGAAAAAACTGCAAGCAATGCTGAATACTCTAACAAAAATAATTTAACAAAGAGGATTGTATTGACATCTGGAACCTGTTTTTACATTATAAGAAAAACATTTTCAAAGCTAACAAAAGAAAATGAAGTGTAATGCAAGTTAGCAAATATTTTTAAAGAAAATGTGCAGACGTTTGATAATATCTCATAGTTATTCTTAAATAAGCATATTAATACCATACACCCTTAATAAATATATTGGGTCATATAAAAAGGTCTATGCACATTTTTTGATACATTTTTGAACAAAAATTTTCTTCACTGAAAATCAATTTTAAGCAGATTTTGGGTACTGCAGGCCTTGGCCCATTAGAGCTGTTACACCACTGAGTTTAGTAGAAAATTAGTTTTAATCAACTATATATTGACCATTATTATCTATGACCTTTGGCCATTTTTGGGGTAGCTTCATAATTCAATCAGTGTAGAACTTCTGTGGTTTATCATCGAAAAGCTAGGCCATGCGATTTTCAGCGGGGCTTTGGTCGGCCAATTTTTTACTATCAAGAGAGTTTTGCAGAGACCAAAACAAATGGTAGCCCAATGGTGCAATGTCTGGGCTATATGATGGGCACATCAAAACTTCCCAACCAAGTTCCGAGTCATTAAAAATGTGTGTAGCCGTGAATTGTCATGATGGAACACAACTCCTTTTCTGTTGGCGAAGTCTGGTCAGTCTTTCTCGATTGCTTAGTTCAAATGGTCAACTTGTGTACAGTGCAGGGCTGAATTGATGCTTTCATCAGGTTGCAGCAGCTCATAATGGACAATTCCTTTCCAATCTCGACATCGGAATTTCAGGAATGGAATCAAGCAAACCACTGCTGGATCCTTTGTTCAATCAGAGCATTCTCACCATCTACTTCACAAATTTTTTGGCATGTTTTTGAAGCATTTTTACCTTTTTTATAGTAAAAAAGTATCACATAGCGTATTTCTTCAGCTATTTCACTCATTTTCAAACAATATAACTTTTGACACAAGCAACAAATTAGAAAACTATCTTTACAAACAATGGAAGTTGAATGTCACCTTTAAGCACATGTTCGTTTGAGACAATTGAGTGCTATATCGGATATATAGGCATCAATACCATCTAATGGCAAAAAAGCATGGAGACTTTTTATATAACCCAATATCATTGTGTTATTCAAATTGCCAATTGCTGAAAGCAACGGCTGTAAAATTAGAATATAGTAAAAATATTATACTAAATTCAGCTAACATTTGCCTATATTAATACACTCAATAGATAAACAAATCATTACCTTTCATTTGTTGCATCTTTAAAGAAGGCTGGGCTATCACAGTAATTTGTTTGAGGAACAGTTTTAGGTTTCCTGTGTGGAGATCTATAAGAAAAGTCTGTTTCTGAAGGATTAGATAATGACTTTTTATGATTAACAGTATGACCAGTTTCTTTGAATCCATTGGATGCTTCATATTTTAGAAATGATGAGCTTTGATCAGGATGTAAGTCAATTAAATTTTCTTGGTCTTCATGTGTTATTTCATTCAGCCTTTGATTGGATTGCTGGTATTCCACTGTATTTACAATGTTTGTATCACTTATGTTATTATCAGAAAGGTTATGTAACAGATGATTATGTTTAAAGGCTGGCGATGATGAAGAAACATCTAAATCATTTTCTTTGTCTTCACTAACATCTTCTAACCTCTCATCAGATGGCAACCTAAAAATTACTGTATTACCTGAATTGTCACTTGTTGAAGTGTCTGGAGTAACACCATTGCATTTGTTAGATGATGGTGATAAATTTTCATTTGACACATAAAAAGAGTCACCACTCTCACTAAGCAAAGAATCACTTCTGTCATGACAAGAGCTATCTCCCTGATCAGAAAGAGCATTGTCTTGAGTAGGTGAAGGCACTCGGCGAGCCACTGTTAAAATTATTGCATTTGAAACAGCATTAGGTCCTTCTCCTTGAATCATAGCTCTCCTCAGTGTTTCCATGGCTTGACCGTTCGTCATACCCAGGAGTGATATACCATTTACATTTAATAACTGGTCATTATTGCGAAGTCTTCCATCCTATTAAAAAATAAGTATTAATGCTATGAAAAAGAATCACTAATGACATATAAAGAATGATCCAAAAACCATATAAATCATCATTGGATATAAATATAAATAGTGTCAAGAGTAGACTGATCGACACATGCGGTGGGTACTTGTGCATTCAAAAGACCCTATACCCTCTCCCTATTTTCAGAAATGGTCGAAACCTTCAGAAGCTGAATTGTCACATTCTTTTAGTGAACTAAGTTGCAGTATAAAATCATTATCTAATATAGTAATCATCAAATTTGATATGCCCCTTACTCTTTACTTAAGCCAATTTAAATTTCAATAGTTTCATAATTCAATAACAATAGCTTTCATATTTGAACATGCGATAAAATGACTGGAAAAACAAATGATAAATCAATAAAAGTGGTAGATCGCTCTCTACACAGTTACCATTTTTTTCTTACGCAGTATCATGGCCTTGCATATGTTTAGCATTCTAACAGTTCTACATTGTGACACATGGCTATGTTACATATAATGCAATTATGAAATGCATAATGTTTGGATCACCCTGCATATATGTATACTACACATCAATGCATATACATTTACATACAAAATTATGTAACTATTTGCATTGTCTTGCATTTTAAAGATAAAATGAAATTTTTTATGAAATAAGACAAACAATTTATAATTGACATATTACAGTCAAAAGTCGTTAATCTGGACTCGTCGGGACTTCGGCGATTCCGGATTATCGATTTTTCCGGATTATAGATCATCAGTTTAAATCTGGTAAAATGGCATGCAGAAATTATAAAATTAAAAATATTAAACCATAATTTACGAAATAAAGAACAATTATGATCTAAAGGGTATCAAAATTTACAAAAAAAGAGCTTAATGTTTATTTGTTTACTTTATTAAACATTTCTTTCAATGTAAGTTGTTTAAGTTGCTTCGTTTTTTATGTGATAATACATTCTCTTTAATTCTATAAACAGACATAATTTCTTGTTCAGTTACAAAGTTCCGCTGTTCAAGTCCTATAATTGCTGTGTCGAGAATACCGACTAATTTGTCAATCGAAATTTTTTCGTTTTCAATAACCTCTGTTACTCTCTTCGCTATCGGAAGCGAATTATAATGAAGATGCATTTGATTTAAATCATATCAAAGACGGAGTACATTGAGATGAAATACTACATTGAGTAAGCAATTATAAGCCAAATAAAATAAAAACATCTGCCCTTAAGATAAGGATAGTGCTGACAGATCAACTTCCAATTCGAGGCGTTAAAGATAAACAAAGTTTAGATAAACAAACGTCAAAGTTTAGATAAACAAAGCATATGCCTTTATACATTTTTTGCAGCAATTCCACTTTTTGTTTAATGGACTCCGAAAGTTACTTTCGCTTTGTATATCCTTTACATATTAGTAAATATATATCAGAAATTCTATTTGACATAATCGAAAGTTCAAGCTTACTTTTATAAAATTGCACTAACAGTCTGCAAAAAATAATAATCCGGATCCAATTCGAAGATTAAGGAACAACGCAATCTGCAACATTAACTGAAATAGATAATTAGATAATTTTAGCTTATCCCGTCCGTTATACATTAAACGCGCATTTGTAAACGTATTTTGCGCACGCGCACACGCAAATTCGCAGCGGTAAAGGTCTTACGTGCATGCGTCACATGCGCAGAAAGTTTGTAGCTTTGAGGTCCGGATTATAGATCATTCCGGATTATGGGTGTCCGAATTAACGACTTTTGACTGTACTGATATTCTATGCTTCAAAACTGAAGCATCACCACAATTTGTGAAACTAGGAAAATTTAGCAATAAAAATATCCAAGGCTATTACTTTAATTAGGCAAGGTTAAACCACAAAATGGCACAATTTTATAAAACTCTATGCACTTCTGACAACTTCTGCTTTCAAAGAAAGAAATTATTTTACAAAAATAATTTGTTACTTGAACAAGACAGACTTGCATGACATTCTCATAAAACTCTTGTGTTACCTACGAAATTAACTTTTATACTGTATGATCTGTAAACAACAGCCCCCTCCCCCCCCCCCCCCCAAAAAAAAAACCGAACTACTGTTTCAGTATAGTTTAAGAATTCATCAAGATCATATAGTTGATTTATATAATTTTTGAAACTTTCAATTTAAATATGCTGAGGCTCTTTTCTTCTAAAACTAATGCTATATGAAGGTCTAGTTTTTCAATTTATTAGGGTAAGAAACTTCTTTTGATTTCTTTAACTATGGTTACTGAGCTGAATATTTTTCTTATATTTTTAATTCCTTCTGGCTCATTATGCAGCAGATAAGGCATAGAGTGATTATTTAATACACTGACATAAAATAGAAGATGCATATAATTTAAATTTTAAAATGAATTATGAAATTCATATATTCTTATGATGAAAATAAAATACTTATCATAAATATCATCTGAAGTTATTTCTGTCATTGAAATCAAGAATATCGTGTGCATACACATGATGTATTTAAATAATCCAAAAATGATGAAGAAATTGCATACACTTACTTTGTAGGCAGCACCTCCATGAAAAATATTTTTCAGGAAAATACCCATATCTACTTGGCCATTTTCAGTGTTTGATGTTTTCCCTTTGACACTGACACCTAAACCAGCAGACCCGGTGTCATTGAGAGGTATTTCATATGTATAAATGTCTCTCCGTTTCCAAGGAAAAATACCAACATCTTCTTCACATTTTTCATGGGGCTGAGAAAATAATAAAATCATGAGAATCAGCTATTCTAGAGTAGGAATGTAATTAACAGAATTATATTACATGGAATATAATCAATACTTCAAATGTCATTTGCATTGCAAGAAAGAATTATAATACATAAAAGAACTTTAGTAAAGTATAAAATAATATTTAAATTCATTTGCAAGTGATTTCTTTGAGAAATAAAAATCAAAGAACAAATAATGAGGAAAAAAAAAGAACAGTAGTACTTTGCAATGTAGATTTATATAGGTGTTCCAAATTTATCTTTACATCTTTGACGCTTCATAAAACTTAAATGAAATATTTTTTATTTTATTAATCAGAACTTATAGTTCTGATTAATAAAATTCTTCTTATGAAAATCTTCTTATTCTTTCTTCTTATTATTCTCTTCTAACGAAAACTTCATCTTCTTATTAAGTAATTCATCTCTTATTCTCTTACAGTTCTGAAGGCCTGCATAAGAAAGTACCTTTTTTTATTTTATTTTTCTGTATATATATATGTATGAAACAAGAAAAATTTTATTACAGTTTTTCAATGTAACCTAAAAGGATCTGCAAACTTATTTTTGATAAAACTAATGAAGAACACCACTTCGGCTGGACTATCAATAGAAACCTTCCTATTCTAAATGCAATGAAAAAGATCAAACTACTTTAAAAAGCAAAATAAGTTAAAAAGATCAAACTACAAAAACTTTATCAATTGCTATGAATCTTTACACATCACTGCCGCTTAAAGCAGTCTGTGGCAGTTTGCAAGAACTATTGAAACTATTTCTAAATAATGCTTAATATTTTGGATGCTAATAATTGGAAAATATATAACTGCTCACTTTTTCATAATTTCAGAACACTAATTATCTACAAATCTACAGGATCCCTGTAAAGATTTAAAAAAAAGGTGAATCAGAGGCCGATGATAATTAAGTAGAGGCTTTATTAAAAGATGGAATTTCACGCACATGGCACAGCACGTTTCTACATATCACACCATGACCAAGAACCACTACAACTGTTGCCAGATCAACCTAAGCAAAACTATAAAACAGTTACGGTTAAAATACATGACATTAAAACAAGAACGGGGAGTACGTGTGATTATTCTCAACACCCTCCCTCAATCACATATTATTTTACATTTATCTCTTAAATAACATAATCTTGGTTTAGGCAAGCATTTAGTAAACAAATCAGCTAACTGATTTTCACTAGAAACATATACAAGATTTATATCATACAATTTTACAATATGCCTAATATACTTTAATTTAATATCCAAATGTTTTAGTCTAGCACAATTACTTTCATTTAATATTGCTTTAATTACGGACTGATTATCCTCATAAACTGAAACTTTAATATTGTCGACTCCTAAAATTTCTTTAGATGCATTATACAATACAGTTAGGTCTTGAATAGCTTTTGCTAAAGCCAAAATTTCTGCCTCAGTAGAGGACAGAGAAATAGATGTTTGCTTTTTTAACAGACCAAGTTACAGGACAATCATTAAAGAAAATAATATACCCTGAAATAGATTTTCTATCATTTGTATCTGACCCCCAATCAGCATCAACATAAACATTTAACATAATATCAACACTATTAAGATTTACAAAATAATAATTTCAATTCAGATGTCCCTTTTAAATATCGAAGAATTTTGCTTCAGACCAGCCCAAGCACTGTTAGTGGGTTGTTCTTGTATCTGACTCAGACAGTTCACAGAAAACAGAATATCAGGACGAGTTGTCATAGACAGGATACAGCAAAGCACCTACAAGTTCACGATAAGGGCTATGAAATCTTTCACCATTCAACAAAATTTGATTGAAGTTGACTTAGGCACTAGGAGGAGTATCAGATGGCTTACAATCTAAGCATTCTAAATCTTATTTAACAATTTTTCAACATAAGCCTTTTGGCCTAAAGTAAGTTTGTTCTGTGAATATTCAAAGACACTTATTACAAGAAATTACATTTGCAACTCAGCCTTGGACATCTCAAATTTATCTTCTAAGTAATTCAATCACAATTTTTACCTCTGAATCATTAGAACCAGCAATTAGCAAGTCATCCACATACAGCACAATAAATATTTCACTCTGTTTAGTTCTTCTTACAAAAGTACATGCTTCGCAGATTAGTGTTGAAGACTTGTTGAAAGATTACAGACTTGTTGAACAGTTTAACTTAATTATAAAATCAGTAAATCTCTTGAAACCACTGCCTCGGTGCTTGCTTAAGTCCTTATAAAGACTCTTAAGAAGCTTGCACACACGACCACTGTTGTCACTGTAGCCCATTGGTTGTTCCATGTAGATTGTTTCTTGGAGATCACCATTCAGAAATGCAGTCTTTACATCTAATGCATAGATTTCAAGGATTTCTTTTGAACAATGATAGCCAGCACAAGTCGAAGTGATGATGTACTAATTACAGGAGCATAGGTCTCAAAGTAATCAATACCTGGCTTCTGTTCAAAGCCACGAGCAACCAATCTAGCTTTGTAAACATTGTTTCGTTTGATGCGCAACACCCATTTACAGGATATTGGCTTTTCATCCTTTGGCAAGTTAACTAACTCCCACGCTTTATTTTTATTAAGAGAAGCTATTTCCTCATCTATGGCTTTCCTCCATAGGACTTGCTCTTCTGTTGGCAATGATGTTATATCCTCATATGTTACTGTATCAACAGTTGCCACATTAGCTTCATACACAAAGTAATCATTCAACTTTACAGGTAATTTTATATTTCTTCTTTGCCTAGTAATTTCTTCACGACTTTCTTCAAGATTTCTGGATTCTACATCACTTGAATCACATACTACTTCATCTTTAGCAGGATCTTTACTTTCTACGGGAAAAATCATCTTGAACTGAGATACATTTGCTTTTTCTCTTCAATGAACAATACATTTCGAGAAACACAACATGATTTGTGACTGGGTCCAGTAAACGAATAACCCATGGTAGAGTATCCAATAAAAATCACGTTTTTTTTTGATTTTGGATCCAATTTCTTTCCTTAAGTTATCAGGATCTCATGTTCCTCGGTTCTCTCGGGTTCTCATGTATGCATCAGATCCAAACACCTTAATAATATTCAAATCAGGCGGATTCCCATTATTTGAGCTCATAAGGTACATTTTCAACAGTCTGATTTGGAATTCTAAGAATGAAATCTTATTCTTCAGATATGCAGCTGTCTGTACAGCATAACCCCAAAGAAGGATTTAGAAAGCTTTGCTTCACATATTAGAGCTCATGGCCTTCTCTAAAAGATATCTGTTGGCTCTCTCAGCCCACACCATTCAAAGGAGGTGAATATGGAGGAGCAGGATCTATCATAACACCATTTTTCTTGCAATAACGAGCTAGTTCACCAGACACGTATTCCTTTGGCATTATCACACCGGAATTTTGTAGACATCAGGATTCTGCTTTAGGAACAATTTAAACACTTCATTTATGTCACTCTTGTTGCTTTAAGAGATGCACTTCAGTAAATCTAGAAAAATCGTCTATGATTGTAGCAAAATACTTTTCACCTTCCCTAGTGGGTGGATCAATGGGACCACATATGTCAGTGTGTACCATTCTCATCGGCACATGCTCTCTGCTTCTAGGGACCTTTGTTCATAGGAGTGTTGGAATGTTTTGCTAGTATGCACTCTTCACAAAAGCTTGATGGTGACTCAGATACTGGCAAACCCATTTCTTTTAATTTTTTTTTATTTTATCAGATGAGTGCCCCATGCGCCTGCGCCTGTGCCATAATTCTGCACTAGTATGATTTGCAATGTATGTTGAAGCTTTAACAGGTTCAAATTGACTCACATACTGTCCTTTTCTATTGAGTTTAGCAAACTTCAAATTTTTCATTCCTCTTTTCAATAACAGCTACATCATTCTTAAAAATTACACTGTAACCTGCTTTTTAAATATTTTTCGCAAATATTAATTGACCTTTTCAACTCAGGACACATATAACACATCTTTAAGTAATATTTCTTCTTCCATTTAATGTTCCAGTTAGTACTGTACCAATACCTTCTACCACTAAAACATCATTTTTCGAATCACACGCAAGAGTTCCAGAAAAAGGTTTAATTTCTTCAAACCACTCACCTTTATTACACATGTGTGTAGATGCTCCAGAATCCATAATGAAATTTCCAACAGGCTCGCCAACCAACAGGCTCACCAACCATGAATGTTACTGCAGCCGATTCTCTATAATCTGATTTATGCTTAAATCTGCAATCCTTCCTGTAATGCCCTGGGCGTCCACATCCAAAACAAACTAATTTTTTTCTTGCAAAGCCTGGCAATATGACCTTTACTTGCCAGAAATACGAGAATCGAAAGAATTTCTCTCACCTTGCAATTCTTCAGCATTCAAGAGCCTTTGCATAACAAAGTCCAGCGTAAGCATTTCATTTGGCTGGTTCTCAATCGTCGATTTAATAATGTCGTACTCAGAAGGTAGCGACATCAACAAATAAATAATCACATCCATATCTTTGACTTCAGCACCCGAAAGCCGCAGTTAATTTACGATAGCCAACAGTTCGTTAATATGTGACTGCATACTGCAATCTCGGCGTTTCTTCAGTGTCGATAATTTCTTTCGTACTAATATTTGACTAACTGCACTCACCTTATGGTATTTATTCTTTAAACTGCTCCAAATTTCACACGCAGAAGATTCACTCGACATGGTCGCCAATATGGCATCATCTAGAAGGGTTAGCAGCAATGCGTAAGCCTTTTTTGCATCTTTGATTTCAGCAACTTTCGTTTCATCCGCTTCAATGTTTAAATATTTATCAAGTTCTTTGGCTGCAAACACAGCTTCTACATGGCGCTTAAACAGAGAAAAGTTTTTACCGTTAAACGGCTCAACACAATACTTTGTGTTCTCGTCACGTGCTGCCATTTCAAATTTCACTTAACGCGCGATTCCGTTCCAAACAAATATAAATGCTTCGCCTCTAGCGTTCATCATTTATTCATATCTAGCGTGTTCAATATCAGAACCACGCTCTGCTGTAAAGATTTAAAAAAAGAAAGTGAATCAGAGGCCGATGATAATTAAGTAGAGGCTTTATTAAAAGATGGAATTTCACGCACATGGCACAGCATGTTTCTATATATCACACCATGACCAAGAACCACTACAACTGTTGCCAGATCAACCTAAGCAAAACTATAAAACAGTTACGGTTAAAATACATGACATTAAAACAAGAACGGGGAGTACGTGTGATTATTCTCAACAATCCCAATGGGAACCAATTATTCAATGCAGATTTCTAAACTGTACTTATTTTCAAAAGGGTATGAATTTCTTCATTCACTTTCAATAAACAATTTGCATAAATTTACCTTTACCTTCAGTTAAATTGATGTGTGTGTGTGTATGATTATGGCAAAGCCTCGAGGGCTATCTACCTAAGGGGAGGGATGCCCTTAGGCAGATCCTGAATCCCTGGATGGAGAACTTTCTAAGGGAAACTGGCTCGTATAAATGCTACACATGGGGAAAACCACAAAATTTATTAAAAATTAATGCATGCAAATTAAAACTGCATGGGCCAAAAATTAATTTTTGGCCCATGCAGCCAGCCCGTTTGCGGGATTCAAACCTCGGACTGAACTACCAGTGTTCAGCGACTTTACCGCTCGGCCACTGGTGGGCCAGTTAAATTGATGATATAATAGCTTTCAATAATACAGTCGAATCCGGTTAATTGGACTACCGGATAATAGGACCAGTCGCCTTTTTCGGAACGAATCCTATGTACATAAGCTTAATATTATTCGCTTTTTTGGACCAAAATTACGTTTAATTGGATTAAAAAACGTGAGAGCGAATAAGAAACAGAATCCAAAAGTCGCCTGCGTACAGTGGATGTACAGGTGGTCTGTGACATATGGAAGGATCTGTAGTTGCAGTTCCCCAGGAAAATGCTTTATCAACGGTCAGGAATTCCTTAAAGTGCATGACAAAAGCAAAACCAGTGGGAGGTGAACACACACACCATTTTCTTTTACCTGCGTCTTCAAGTTTCAAGGAAATGAACAATAGAGTGTCTGGCTTTACCTAAAAGGAATTCCTGCCAGTCAACTATGATTAACCTTTTGAGGCCGGGGCTTTGGTAGCAGTAAAAGCTACCAAAGGACGGGGTATCTTGAACCGAATGCTTTTCCCCCTTTAAGAAATCACCTCCTATTTGCAACAAAGATTCTTGTGTGTAGTTTAATGGATTCTCAGAGGGGTGCATCTATGTCGCAAAAGGAAGACCTTTGAAAGAGATAAGTGGTTAAAACCCCTAGACGTCAATTTGACATTTCACTCCACTTTTCAGCCTGGAAAATGGGGGAAAAAGACATGGCCACTAAAGTGGACAACCCCGTCTTTTCAAAGAGAGGACTCTATAATGGCCATCCCGTCTTCAAAAAGTTAAAGTTTACACGAGAAAGCTAGCATTTCATCAGCTTTTGGGATGATTTTAGTGCAAAAGCTTTGAATGGCGAGCATTTTATCTCCCTCTTGACCTCAACATCTTGAACCCGAAACACCAAGGTTTCTTCAGACCACTTTAGTCAGTGAACTGTGCGCATGTCTTGTCTCCCCTGCCAAAATGCCATGACGGGACTTGACATTAGCTGAAAAAATTGGTTTCCTGGATAAGATCAAGCAACAACCACGAAACACTAGTCAGTGTCGGTTGGTGGAAATAACCGGATCGGCAAAGACTACAATTTCGCGCTTTATAAAACAAGAGAATGAGCTGCAAGAGGAATGGGCACAATGTGAAGGATGAGGAGAACCTTCCAAAAAATAGAAGCGTGAAGGCAAGGACCCAGATGTCGATGAGGCCCTTAATGAACGGTTTGCCATTGATACTGGACAATCTGTGCGAAGTAAGCGGCCCAATGTTAAAATGCAAAGCAGAAGAACTCGCTAAAAAGCTGGACCATGATGACTTTAAAGCTATGGATGGTTGGTTGCTTCGATGAAAATCTAGACATGACGCAAAATTCAAGAAAGCACATGGAGAGAAAGAAAGTGCTTATAGTGCAAATGCTGAAGAATGAAAATCAACAAAACTGCCCGAGCTTCTTGAAAATTTTTCAGTACATGACATCTACAATGCCAATAAGATTGGGCTGTATTATCGTGCTACACTGGACGGCTTGTTAAGTTACAAACATGTTGCACTCTCTGGCTCCAAAAAAGCGATGGATCATGTAACTGTCTTTGTGCTGCTCAAACATGTCACGAACAGACAAAGAGGAAGCTGTTGGTTATAGGAAAAAGCACTAAGCCTTGCTGCTTTAAAGGACTTAGGATGGAGAGTTTACTAGTTATGTATCATGCAAACAGAAATGCGTGGATGACCTCTGAACCTTTTAAAGAATGGCTGAAGGATTGTGGCAGAGAGCTAAAATGCCAGTCGAGAAAAGTGCTGCTGCTTCTTGACAATTGTGCAGCACATTCTCATTTAAATTGCTTGATGAATGTCCAACTGCAATTTCCACCTCCCAGGACCACAGCTTTGGTCCAGCCAATGGAAGTGAGCATCATAAAAAATTTGAAGACCCTTTATTGTACAAGGTTGGTTAATTACATCCTTGAAGCAATTGAAGAAAGTTTGCTGAGCTCATTGTCGAAAGCCAGCAAAGTCAGTGCAAAGGTCAACATCTTAGCACTAATTCAGAAGTCAAACAACAAAAGTCAGCATTATATTTTCAAAATTTTCACAGGACTAGTTTTGATGGTTTTACCGAACCACCATCCTCAGCTGTAAAACCACAAATGAACAAGATAATCTAATTCAGTTAATGTTGCAGATTGCGTTGTTCCTTAATCTTCGAATTGGATCCGGCTTATTATTTTTTGCAGACTGTTAGAGCAATTTTATAAAAGTAAGCTTGAACTTTCAATTATGTCAAAAAGAATTTCCGATTCTGAAGCTGCCAAAGTGAAAGCATGTTTCGATGTCCATCAAACAAAAAGTGGATAAAGGCATATCCTTTGTTTCTCTAACCATTCCGAAATCTGTTTATCAATTTCACGCTGCTCTGCGGGGGGGGGGGGGGGGGGGGGGGATCGCGGCGCGGAATGAACTGGAAGTTGATCTGTCAGCACTATCCTTATCTTCAGGGCAGATGTTTTTATTTTATTTGGCTTATAATTCCTTACTAAACGTAGTATTTTATCTTGATGTACTCTGTCTTTGATATGATTTAAATCAAATTCCTCGTCATTATAAATATTATGAATACACATCAAATAGTTTTCTGGTTGCAATTTTCTAATTTCAACTAACTTCTTGGCGTGTTGAAAGAAATGTTTAATAAAGTAAACAAATAAATATTAAGCTTTTTTTTTTGTAAATTTTGATACCCTTTAGATCATAGTTGCTGTTTATTTCATAAATTGAGGTTTCATATTTTTAATTTTATAATTTCTGCATGCCATCTTACCAGATTTAAATTGATGATCGATAATCCAGAATCGCCAAATTCCCGACGAGACCAGATTAAAGACTTTCGACTGTATATTCTTTCATTATCATGTTAATTCTATGTCATGTCAAATTTTATTCCACTAAAGTAGAACTTTTGCTTCACACACACATATATACTATATATATATATATATAGACTAATAACTTTTGCTCCATATATATATAACATTATACATTTCAATCAATGCATAAGATATTTTAATATAAATCACCAGTTCTCTTGGAAGACTTGGACTTGGTGACAAATCTGTTTCTTGCCTTGAGATCACAAGCTCAACTACATCACCAAAAGGAACTTTCCTCAACATGCTCAAAACTTCCGTTTGGGTCATATTTGACACATCGACTTTATTCACCTATCAAAATAACACAAAAAATATATGATGAATAAATCAAAACAAAATATTTAAAAGCAGTCACACTTTCTTTGCTTATGAGCAAAATTCTAATCCGAACATTCCAAAGCCTTACATTTCGTTCAGTCATTAGGACTATTTCGCTTTAAGATTACGTCATTTTTTCTCTTCTTGGCGCCTTGCATGGCGCACATGTTCATTACAGCAATTCTATAATCGCTCGCTCAGTTTTTTATTGTTGTTATTGTTAGTAGTAAGTCATCGCTTGAAAGATTGCACGCATGTTATTACGGTTGAAGAATAAAACATTAATTATAGTCCATTTCTTTAAAATTGTATTATTCATATATCAACGCCAGTGTCGCATGAACACATTTTCTAAATTAGTCTTTGTTAATAATCTAAAGTATTAATGCATCATCAGGAAAGCTAGAAAACAAGAAAATTTCAGTAGAATAAATCAAAGCATTTTTATAATATTTTTTGAATGTAAAGCATTTGTACACAAAACTTTATACATAGGTGAGATAGAATTTTAATTCTTTAAACCAGCTAATTAATTTCCTTTTCAAACAATAATTTTCCCCTTTAAACATCCCCCCCCCAAAAAAAAACTGTCGCTCTTTCTTTTCCCAAAAGAAATTAGCAATATTGATCTACTCGATGGATCATTAATATAATAGGTGACTGTGGTAATGCTGATTGTAATGAATGAATATTTATAAATTAATGCATACTTATATCAAAAGAGAAAGTGTGAAGGCTTGAAGCTATCCAATAGTATTACAGAGTTGCCAACTCTCCCGATTTAGGCGGGAGACTCCCGATTTTCGACCACTCTCCCGCCAACCCGATTTACAATATATTTCTCCCGACTTTTTCTTATTCTTAAAATTTCTCACGAGTTTTATGGAACTTGGCTTAATACTTAATTATATGAATAAAAAAAAAAGTGATTTTGGAGTCTGAAAGCAATTGAATTTTCTCTAGATTATATCTAAAACAAAATCTTGCGAATCAGATGAGAATTTCTACTTTGTGAGTGAGAGCATACGTATCCAGAAACGTCGTTCTCCAATTCTCCAATGGGCATCGAGCTCCACCTGCGTGTCATCTGGTATATATTAGACAATGAGTACAAAGCAAGCTCAAGGCTGTTATTTGGATGTTCTTAGTTTCGTTATTTCGTTCATCTTGTCCTGAGTTGTGTGAGTATAGGGAAATAGTTTTAGAAATTATCATCTTTTTTTATGTCTGCGAGAAAGGTGAAATACTTGTGTACGTTTCAAAAATCATACAGTTGACTTTTCTTCCATTATTTCCTCAAGGAAATGTAATAAATTTGCGATGTGTACCGTCTGTCGTGGCGATTTTTCGATTTCCATATGGTGGATGGGCGGATGTTCTTAAGCATGTGTGTTCACAAAAACACAAGGACAACAGGAGTAGTTTTGAAAAAAACGAAAAATTAAATTTTTCTTCGGAAACAAAGGATCAAAAAGTTATTAATGCAGAATGTCTGTTGTCTGCCTTTTTACTGACTGGCAGGTTATAGTCGGCAATGCAGTTCTGTGAACTGCGTATCCGGCTCTATGAAACTAGCCACAATAGCGACATCACGATAAGTCAATCATCACGTACCTTTTCACTGGAGCACAACCTCAAAGAAGACAAAAATAAGTTTTATCTTTATGTTAGAAGTATGTACTGTCGAGTATGTGATTACATACTACATAAATTCCCAGTCAACGATGAAGTGATTTTGCATGCTAAAGTTGCTGATGTTTCTGCTCTAGTAAATGCATCTTTTTCTGATATAAGGTACTTTTTGAACAGATTTCCTGTGTTACATCATTTAGTCATGAAAGATAATATTGATGTTGCCACTGATAATGTTGCAGTCGCAATTTTGCAGTTTAGAATTAGAAAACTTGGATGAAGTTATAAAATCAGGATTGACACCCAGTGGAGTTTATTTGGAAAACTGAAAGGTGCTGATGGAATTTTAAAATATAGTGGACTGTCTAGAATTATGTTAGAAATCTTGACAGTTCCCCATAGTAATGCAGAGTGTGAGAGGAGTTCCAGTGTTGTTGCAAAAATGAGGACTAAATTTAGATCTAATATTAGTGATGACACATTAGAAAAACTTTTATTAGCGAAAGCAGGCTTATGTGCAATTGCTATGAACAAAATTATGAAGTTTCTTTCTTAACGAAAGCAAAATCTGCCACTGTTCATAACATTTGTACAAAAACTGATTAAACTAGTTTTTTTTTTTTTTTTTTTTATCTTAAACGATGCAAGTAATAAAAATGTTTTTTATGTGTAAGGTATTTTTGTGTTGCTTGCATTTAAGTATTAGTAACTATTTAAAGTTAATTCATTATTAAAAATTATATTTTTATCATTTAAAAAGTCTTTTAACATTGTGAAAAATCTCCTGATTTTTGAGTGTCATAGGTTGGCAAGTATGGCATTAAAATCTAAACCTTCTAATAATAGGCAGTATATTGCAACAATAAAGGTACTCTGCATTAGATTTCAATAATTTTTATGATCAAATGTTATAGTAATATTTTGATTTGTTATCACTTCACTAATGAACAATAATGGATTTCTAAATGTTGTGTACCATGTAAAGAAAATAAATTTAAATTATTACCTCAAGCAGCTTATCACCAGTTTTCAGCCTTCCATCATCGACAGCTGCACCAGCAGGAAGAATATTCTTGATAAAAAATGGTGGACCATTATTAGGGTCTTTAGATGTGATACTGAAACCAAGGCCTTCAGAACCTTTGAGAGAATAAAACAATGAGTGCCTGAAATATTCATATATCAACTATCCAATTAGATAAAAGAAAAACTATGCATTTATTACAGGGTTTAAGTTAACATCTTTAGAAAACATAAATTTTTAACTTTTTTTTTCTTTCAGAAACAAGTAAAACACAAGAATTATGAGAAAAGATATATAAAATAACTGTATTTATATTTTAGTACAGGTATTATAATAATAAAATTCTTTAATTTCAAACACTTCCAACTCCCAAGCATCAAATTTGATGAAAGAACATTAACACAGAACTGATTTAACAATTTCGCTGTCGGTGTCACACCAGTGCATGGCACCAACATTAAACATTAAGAAACCAATCATGCATGTGCACATGGCGTGGATAACTGTCTCAGTAGCCAGTCATGTATTTGTGAGGAAAAACTTGTGGCTCAGTATTTATTCTCCGCTTTATTTGGCATAACATCTTATGTGTATGTGGTGGTATTGGCATGGAATAAAAGTTACAAGCAAGTTGTAAAGGTCCTGAATTTATAGCTTATATGGCTAATGAAAAAATCTTGTACTATGAGTTATAGAGATGATAATTCTGCAGAGCTGTCATGCCCCAAAAAACATGAAAAATAAGCTTCTAACAAAAGATGAGATTGCAACATTGTTGGCTGAGCTTTTGAATGAGTACCCAAGTGATGTTAGTTATGACAGCCATGAAGATTTCATTCCTTCCCTAAAGTGCCTATGATATTTCGGATTATGAAGAGGAAGAGTTGCAAGACATGCAAGAAGTCATTAGCCTGATTCCACTATGGTAGGAAATTTAATTTGTGGAAATGAACTCACAAAATGGTACAATTTCGTTTTACAAAATCAGAATCTCCCTCAAGACCCCCTCAGGACTGCTTCATCATGGTGAGGGGGTGCCACTGGAAGGAGTGGGCGAAGTATGTTGGGAGTGTATTCTTCTGGCAGGGCCACTCTAGGCGTGAAGGCCACTCAATTATGTCCAGCTAAAGTCTTCTGTCGCTGGTGCTCCAGGTCTCTGACCATAGAAGCTGCCTTTTATCTCATCCATGAATATCACAATGCCTACCACTCCTCTTACTTATATGGAACTATTTTCTAAATGTAAGGCAAAGAATAAGGCCATTTAGATGGTCCCACCAGTGCACCCATGGTATCAGAGTAAGTGCCTTGGTGGCTCCTTGGTCCAGAGCAGCAATAGATGTGATCAAACTACACTTATTAGATTCCTTAGTGGCCATCTGTTATCAATGACTTTTGTCGGTGGTAATAAACACTCTGAAATATGCACTAAGTGTTCTACCACACAAGCCTCTCCTGATCACATCTTATCTAGTCTAGGGCTTACCAGACAGGATCTTGTTTAAGAATCCCTTTTTTGTACTGGACTCTTTCAGGGTGAATGGGCTCATGAACCTGATCTAGCTCTGCTGGTCATGGGGATGAGGGAAAAAAAAATCAGAATGTCTGCTACAACCTGTTTCAGGTGACAGTGCAATTGATTATTTTTGCCATTTATGTACCAAAAATATCTTGGAGGAAGCAGTTGCTCTAACCAATGACTATGCTTGTAAAGTACTTTGTTGCCATGAAACAAAGCAAAATTCTAGAATTAATGCTTGGAAAGAAACAACAAAAGATGAAATACTGGTATTTGAGAAACTAATTTTACATATGGGAACTATAAGAATAAACCACATTCAAGATTACTGGAAGACTAATACACATTTTGGGTTGAGTATATTTGGATATAATATGAGCAGGAATAGATTTCTTTTATTCCTGAGGGCATTGTACTTTGCAGAAATCCCACAGCAAATTGCAGAACCTCCAAAAGATTGACTATATAAAATCAGAAGTATGGTGAATTTGTTCAAAATGTGAATAGCTGAAATATATTTACCAGGACGAGAGATTATTTTAGATGAGTCAATGATATTGTGGCATGGATGGCTCAGTTTCAAACAATGTATTCCAAACAAGTGCCATAAATATGGTATGAAGTCATACAGTCATACATGATCACAACACCTAATGGTATGGTTATTAAATTTATGGTGTACACCAGTATGGTAGTATGATTCTGGTGGGGCAGGACATGCACAAAAAGTAGTGTTTAATTTGTTAGAAGGAATGCTAGATGTTGAGCATAGTGTATATATGGATGATTATTATAATAACTATGAATTAGCAAAGTGTCTTGCTGATAGAAAAATACATTGTACTGGGACAATCAGAAAGAACAGGAAGACATTTCCAAAAGAGGTTAGTGAGGGAAAAAACTAAAGAAAGGAGAAACTATAGCAAAGTATGCTAACAGTGCAATGATTAGTAAATGGAGAGATAAAAAAGACATAACTTACATCTCTAATGGATACAAAAATGATATTCTAGATACAACCAGCAAGAGAGGCTAAATGAAATCTGAACCACTTTCTATCATTCAATACAATAAATTTATTGCAGGTATTGATAAACAAGATCAGATGTTTTTCATGTGAAAGAAAAACCATTAAATGGCCTACCAAAATATTTGTTCATATTTTGCAATTAAGGATCTCAAATTCTCACTTTCTCTATAATAACTATTATACTGAAAACATGTCACTTTATGACTTCATTTATCTGTAATATGATGTTTATTGAAATCACAGCCTGTCCTTTGTGCTCTTGTGTGCGATTCAGTTCAATCAGAACACCTGCTCAATTCGCGGGAAGAAAAGAATGTGGAGAAATATTACAAAAGCAGTGTAAAAGTTGCTATTCCCAAGGAAAACATAAAACTATTATTTATGTTTGTAAAGTTTAGGATGGATCTCCCGGCTATTGCTTAGTTGTGTGAAGGTGACCCACAAATAAAATGTTAAAAAATATTGCGTACGTAATAACATTCTAAACACCTCACAATTAATTAATAAACCATTTGCGGTTTTGCAGCTGAGGATGGTGGTTCAGTAAAACCATCGAAACTAGTCCTGTGAAAATTTTGTAAATATAACGCTGATTTTTGTTGTTTGACTTCTGAATTAATATTTATTCGGCACGTTATTGTGTCTTAACCTCACAATTATTCATTCATATTTAATATTTGTTATATAAGTATCATGCAAAAATAATGCATTTTGCCATTTCTTTTTAGGTATTTTGTTTTAGTTTTACACATCACACACTAGCATGTAATGTGGCATTATGGAGAATATTTTACCTGTAGTGCCTACCACTCACTGGCAAAATATAAATCACTAGTCAAAATATAATATCAGAAAATATGCCACTTTAGTCAAAATATAATAACAGAAAAGGCCTAAATATTAGTTACTAATCAGTCTGATAAACATAATATCTTTTTACCACTTTTCAATCATATTTGTTACAGTAAGTAAATTGCATTCCAGGAAAACCCATTTCTATGATAAAGCAATAACTATCAACACATCCTCATATGACCAGCAGTGGATGTGTCAAGACATACTTTGGGAGATGAAAAATTGTTTATTATTCCATTTCATATCCTCTAAACATTTTCAGATCCCAAATTGTCACAATTATAAAAATAATTTTACTGTAAAGAAAAGAAATAAAATTAATTTTTTCAGTGTGAACATAAAGGAAATGTATAAAAGTTCTGTCTGGGTTTATTAATTACAGCAAAGCACATGATTACTGTCTGCAGAAGGAAGGATAATTCTACAGACGATTTCCCAAAAGAAAATTATTTATGGCTTTACATTTGTCTTTAAAATTGAAGAATATCATGATGTAGATAATTTTTAATATTTTTATTATCAAGATTTGTTTATTGGCAATATTAATTTTAAACTAAAAAATAATAAAAACATATAAGCAACTTAAGGCTAATTTTTCACAAAATTATCAATCAAATATGTGAAAACCAATTAATGCCTTAACACAGATACCTTTAGTAAGATGGACTAAGATTCGTCTTCCAACCTTCCTTATACTTGAATGAGCAGGACTACTTTTATGTAATGGTGTTGAAGGAATTTTTTTCCCAGGAGAAGTCACTTGCAACTTAGAAATAAGGGAACTGGACACTAGATACAAATATATGATTTAAATGCAACTATTTAATATAAATTTTATTATCATATAATATGTCTTGAACTATAACTACAAAAAAAGTAATCTGTTCAACATTTGTTAAACAAAAAGATCTTTCTTCCCTTTCCCCCTTAACAAAGCTAAAAAAGAAAACATTAAAATAATTAGAACCATATGAATGCTCTAATTATCACTATTGTTAGCAAAATAAAATGCATTTTTCTAATTTGCCTTTTGTAAATTTTTTTCCCCATGAATGATCCAAACTGACAAAATTAGATGTTACTGCTAATATTAGAAATGATTTACGTGATTTTGTTATTTTTTGATTTATTTATTGTTTGGATATTTACATGATATAATGGTTAACATTGGAAATAGTTTATATAACAATTTTATCATATAGATGAGAAATATTAATTTTATTTCAATTATTAATTCACAGTCCTTAAAAAAAAAGCATTTTTTCCAATCTGCAGATTTATTAAACTAGATAATCTATCAGCTTTACTTTCCGAGGAAAAAGTGTAAAAATCTACAGTTTCAGCAGTAAATAACCCTATTAGTTTTTTAAGTTACTGCTGCTCTAAACCAGAATTTAAATTTAAACCAATTTTAAACTTGCTTAGTTAAGTTTATCAAGTTTAATATCTCAAATAAATTTCAGAATATTAGATAATTATTGCTTTGAATGAAGACTGATATAATGAATTTGAATAAAGATATTTATTATTTTGAATTTTCAATATTTGTTATCAATATATATATACCAGTAAATTACTGAATATAAAATAAGTGTAGTAAAAGTAACATACCAAAATAAAGATACAGTACAAAGTCTGTAATCCAGACGTCCATTATCCGGAATAATTTATAATCCGGACCTCAAAGCCACAAACTTTACGCATGTGCACAGAGAATGTGCATACATTGTGCATGCGCATAAATAATGTACATACATTACGCGCGCGTAATGTATGCTTTATGCATGCGTGCATTGAAAGAAATGTTTAATAAAGTAAACAAATAAATATTAAGCTTTTTTTTTGTAAAATTTGATACCCTTTAGATCATAATTGCTCTTTATTTAAATTACGGTTTAATATTTTTAATTGTATAATTTCTGCATGCCATCTTACCAGATTCAAATTGAAGATCTATAATCCGGAAAAACCCCTAATCCGGAATCCCCAAAGTCCCCATGAGTCTGGATTATGGACTTTGTACTTTATAACATTTTATAAAGCAAGTTTGAAATAGTAGCAATAATATATAATACCTTTTTCATTATCTGCCAGTTTATCATTCCTTGCATTTTTCTTCTGCTTAAGATTTGGTTTGGAATTAATTGTTATTTTGGTAGAATCCTTTTTTATACAATGAATATTTAGCTCAGGAGCTTTCATAGCATCCCTGAGTATTTCTTGAGCATTCCGATAAGAGTCCTTACTCAACTTTAAACCATTTATTTCTGTTATACGATCACCAACACAAAATCGTCCATCCCGATCTATTCTCCCACCAGGTTCAATACCTTGGATTATAACGCCTTTGTTGCTATAGAAGAAATATTAATTTTGAAGAGCCTTCTCTATGTCATATATAAAATAATACAATTTAAAAAAAATAAGAATTAAAAATAACTTGGAAAAATAAGACATCTTACTTTTCTGGACTATCATCTGCAGGAACTATACGGATACCCAGCGGACCATCTTCTTTTTTTAGTTTCATTACCTCAATGACCCTGTGAAAATAAATGTAACATTTAAATTAAGAACACCCCAGGATAACAAAAATACCAAGAACTAACCTCAACTGTAAATTTTACAGCCATAGTTAAACGACATGTGTCATTAAACTTTGTATATTTATAACTAATATTAACACAAAACATTTGATTGAAAATAGTAGCAATTTACTTATTTACATTTATGGAATCATATAAAGAAATTAATAAAATATCAATCATATTTTCATTTAAAAAGTTAATGAATTTATTAATATTTTTTTTCAGCAGAATTTTAAAAGTGTTGATTTTATACAAAATATTTCAAAATCTTTCTGTGTTGATTTTGATGTGTCATGTATTTTACTGAAGAATCTGAAAGCACATATACATAGCCTTTTTACCAGAAACAGATAAATCTGACTCTGAGGTATTTTAAATTTTATCGTTTAAAAAATTAAATTTAAATTTATTGACAATTCTTAAAATTCGTATAATGAACAAATGAAAGTGCTCACACTATTACACATAAAGGGAAGATAACATGAAATATAACCAATACAGTACAAAGTCTTTAATTCTAATAACATTAAATGCATAACGCTTATGCATGCGCATGTAATGTATAACGGACGGTATAAGCTAGGCTAAAATTATCTAATTATCTATTTCAGTTAATTTTGCAGATTGCGTTGTTGTTTAATCTTCTAATTGGATCCGGCTTATTATTTTATGCAGACTATTAGAGCAATTTTTATAAAAAGTAAGTTTGAACTTTCGACTATGTCAAAAAGAGTTTCCAATTCTGGAGCTGCCAAAGGATCTACAAAGCGAAAGCATGTTTCGATGTCCATCAAAGAAAAAGTAGAATTGCTGAAAAAAAATGGATAAAGGCAGTGACAGAGAGGTTAGTGAAAACGAAAAAATTCCGATTGACAAGTTAGTCAGTATTCTCGACACAGCAATTACAGGACTTGAACAACGGAACTTTGTAACTGAACAAGAAATTGTGTCTGTTTATAGAATTAAAGAGAAAGTATTAGCACATAAAATAAAACAACTCAAACAACTTACATTGAAAGAAATGTTTCCTATTTTTAATTTTAAAATTTCTGCATGCCATCTTACCAGATTTAAATTGATGATCTATAATCTGGAAAAACCCCTAATCCGGAATCGCTGAAGTCCCGACGAGTCCGGATTAAAGACTTTGTAATGTATATGAATAATAAAATTTCTAAATTGTTTTTAAGAAATTATATGTAAAAATTTCTGAAATGTCTCATAATATGAAAAGTTAAAAATAAAACCATAGTTAAATATTTACATTAATGCAGAAATATATAGTTATGATAAAAATTCATTTACTTCTTATGTGAAGAACTGGAGCAATCACTATCTTCAGTTTCATCAGTACTATGTTTTGGCGAAGTGGGTCCACCAAGTGGTTCTCTCCTTTCATCCTTTAGAATACAGTTTTATTTTAGAAACATAGTTCATCATTAAAACATGGTATAAAATTTAAAAAAAAGTATGCATTAATTAATTATTAATAAATTAAAAATAATATAAAGAAAACCAAGGAAAATAATTTTAATAATTTCAAGCTTCAGTAATAATACTTAGTAATAATAATACCTCTTACTTCATTTTAAATACAGATCCTAGAATGAACTATAAAATATATAGTATAATTTATAACCTTTATTTCTGTAATACCATATTTCCTCTTAATAAATCTGCAATATATAACACAATAAAAGTGGTAGAAATATTGCATCAAATAAGCTTACACTGCTTTTTATACTCTAAAAGATAACTTTTATTAGAGGCAGAATAAGAGAGAAATTAATGCATTTGATTTTATATGCAATCAAGAGATTAGCATTTAACACTGAAATTCATAAATTTCAAATGAATAATTTATTATAAAAGAGAAATATTGAGATTGAAGATTTTTATTTCTGTAACTATATTTGAATGAGAATAGTCAAAATACAACTGCTCTGAATATGCTGCAAATATGTAAAATGAGTGATGTGTTACAAAACAATCAGTAAACAACCTAGGTGGTAAGAAATATGTTACGTTTCTATTTTCCAAAATATTAAAATACTATCTTATCAACAAGTTATAAGGAAATTTAATAGACCTCAAGATAAAAATTTGTACAAGAATAAATAATTTTCAATAACTTTTCAGCAGAATGAAACAATACACTAATACTTCAGGTATATAAAAAAATTCTATTCTGTATAAATATTTATGTTATGTTAAAAATAATTGTTTATTATGAACATATGAAAAGCAGATGATTTACAAAAATTCCGAATTTCTGTAAGTATTTCATGTGGCACATAAAATAAACATGCTGTATTTTTAATTTTAGCTTTATCTTTTCATGCACAAATTTTAAAGATTTTAGGTGGAAGAAATATCATAAGGCAAAATAAAGATTAAATATATATATTTACAGAAAAGCTATAAATTATTTAAAATATTGTTTTAAACATACTCTGTTTAAATGTCCATCACAATTCCATGAATTTAAGTACTGTTGATAAGATATTGATTTCTCTTCTCCACTGCCATCCTCTCTTTCTCCAGGTGGAAGATCATCTTCTGACTGTTCTTCTCCCTAAGCAATTTAATAAAGTGATTAAAACATTGTTAGTAGAACTTGAATGCAGAAATTTGCTCCCTCTGTTTCATAATAATAGTAACATTTGATGAATTTAATTTGTCCCATAATAATAGTAGTGACAAAAAATAAATATAGAATGCAACATTTATTATCAAAAAACTAGATTAAATTAAACAACAAATTAAAAATACTACTCTTAATTTTCATTCTGAGTGTTCAGATAGTTTCTGGATTTTTTAATAGTTTCATTACTGCACTAAATTTGTGGGTAGGATGCCTGGGCTGCAAAGCTTTGTTTTCCTTATATATATGAGCTTAAAATTATTGGAGCCATCATTCTTAATTGCTTCTAGTACAACATGCTGAAGTGGCAGAAACATATTATCCAGTATTTTAGGAGAAACAGGTCCACAGTTCCCCCACCCCCAAAGAATCAACATTGGCATAAGATTCGTTTTGACAATTATTTTCAGAAGCATGCTTCCAAATTCCTGACATGGTCTTTTGTTGCACATAAATTGCTTTCCAGCTAATATAATTCCCCCTTTCTATAACTTTTCATTTTCTTTTGATGCATCAAGGACTGGACAATCGCAACTCAATCCTTCTCGAAAACTTTCTTTCTTTTACAGTAGGATGATATTCAACTGAAATAAGGCAATTGATTTCGATCAGGGGATGAAATTAGAAAAATAATCACAATTCCTAATAATTAGTTTAACCTAAAAAGTGAAAGATATGTCATGAAACATTGATTCTGATTGAATGCTTTGCGATTTTATGCAGCAACGTAACTTACAGCTGTATTTGACAATAAATTCCATCTAAATATTCACTTGCTAAGGATCACTCAGATGAAATATATACTGCGGCACAGATGACAGAATAACTGTACCTACACACAGTCAACCAATGGTGGTCAGCCTGGTAAAGGCACAATCTCAGTGACAAACAAATTTCTGCATATTTTCCACCATTTTGGGTTGCAGTTGAAGCCAAAAACAGGGATCTTTTGACTATAAGAGAAACATGATTCGATTAAAGCCATTTGCAGTAGCTCCGTATGACAGCATCATAAAGAGATAAGTTCATATAACATAATGACTTCACAGTAGGGAGTTTGATGTTTCAAATGGCACATTAAATTTCGCAGTATCATAAAGCAAGATAACTTTATTAAGTGTCTGTATCACAAAGCATCATACAGCACTAATCATGTCATTCTATTACAGATATTCCAGCAACAAAAACCCACTTTCATTGAAGAAGATTGCCAGCATGAATCTTCCATGCTATTTCGATTAGTGTAGCAATATGCAGATTACAAAAAACAGATCCCTTACTTGACTGAGTGCATTTTTAGTCTGATATTTAAGCAATGGGTTAACAAACAATATTCTCAGGTTTGGTGCAATCACTGTAGCACTCATTCATCATCAAATGCTGACCCAAAATGAGCATGCCTTGAAAAGACAAAGTTATCACTTGTTTAATCGCTGGGTTGAAATTCTGGCACCAGGTTTCACCACTTGCCACGATTTGAGATGGGATTGTTGGTACCTGCTCATAAATAAGATACTAATGAATGATATTCTGGAAGGTGATCTGGATTTTTGTTATTCCATTAACTTTTTACTACCCATTAAATATGTGCCTTCACTTTCCTCAGACAATGCAGGATAATGGAAATCAACCTGACGTGCCAACATTCACTGCAAACTAAACTGTGACACAATCAGAATTTTTCTCTGCCAATCTTTCTTCATCTGTCATGTTTTTTTTTTTTTTCTGAAATCATGGCATATTTTGATCTGTCTTAGGCATGAAGGGAATTATTGCACGTGTGCTCTCATAATGTCAGTGGTTACATGTCAGTTTGGCAAATGGAAGATTTCGAATCAGAATCGCAAAGCAGATACTGCTATTTTTCACATTTCCTATGTGAAGATTGACAATCTCTTCAACCTTCCATGCACTTTTTTCCTTCCTGAAATTTTACATAACAATTAAAAAAGTATGCTGCATTTCATATGGACACTGTAACAATGATTAATAAGCACCTAAAGATTTCTAATGGTCGTATGCTTTCCTTACACAAGAATTGAATCATAACCAAATAGGCTGTGAACATATCCATGACCCATTAATAATGGGAAAAAAATCTAAGGCAATGTACTACATGGTTCGATGTCTAACAGTTTTAGTGCACACACTGCCACCATTTTATGTTTTATCTGGTTAAATTTTGAAGACCAGTACAGTATAAAGACTGAAATCCGGATGTCCATTATCCATAATGATCTAAAATCCGAACCTCAAAGCCAAAAAAAAATTTTTTTTTGTATGCTTTACGCATGCGCATTTGATTTTTCCTTCCATAATAAAACATGTAGAGATTTTCACATAAAAATTCCAATTCTTAATTTTATTTACGCACTAAATAAAATACCTCGTTATGGAAAAACAATCACATAAGCATAAATTTATGAGATTAATAATTTGGCTCCGTAGCTGAGTATCAGCTTGGCATACATCTCAAATCCAAACATTCACCTATTTTACATCCCTGACGCCGACCTGGGGAGTCATTATTTATTATATTTTGCTTTCATCACTGCATGATTATCAATACATGACAGCTTCAGTAATTTAATAACTCATGCAGCGATGTCTAAACTTTTGTTTATATTAGGAATTGAATAACAAGAGTCTGGCAACCTTTTATGCTAACATTACGCTTGGCGATGATTATAGATTTTTAAATGCTCTAAAAAATGTTGATGAGGAAAAATTCAATACAAATTTCTTTTCATATACTAAAAATAGCTTTTGTTAATGAAACTCATAGGGCAAAAGATTACATTTAGTGCTATTTTAATTCAGAATAACTGATATGTTATTCATTATAAACCCAGAAGCGGCGGGAATTTAGGGAAGACACAATTTGTGGAATTTGGGGAAGCACCAAGCGGCAAAATTAAGGGATGAGAAGTTTTTTATAATTTAGGGGGGAAAGGATGAGATCCAAAGTTTAGGCACGGTGAAAATTTAGAACTTAGGAAGGCGCTTTGTAGCAGAATTTAGAGACTGCACCAAGCGGTATCTAGCACCGGCCCAAGATAAAGTATACGTGGGGAGTTTATTCCGAACTCAGATTAGTTTTAAGCATGTGCAAGAAATAAACATAGATATAGTAAATAACTAATACAATTCAGATTTAATTCAGTATGCAATAGGAGCAAGACAAAATTTACTAGAACAACTTGGCTTTCGTTGCCAATCTTGTGATACACAGCCAATAATGTATAACGGACGCTATTAAGCTAGGCTAAATTATCTTAAGGCATTTCAGTTATTAATCATAAAATCTTTCCTGTCCGCTTTTTGTTTTAGTGTTTGTATTGTCTATAATAAACAATGGAAAAAAATCTTAAAATATAAAACTACAAAAAAAGTTTAAATTTTTGAAAAATGATTATAAAACCTAAAATTTCATTTTATTAATTGTTTATATTTATCTCTATCCCTAACCTTTCTCGAGCATATGTTGAGCAACCCTCTAGCTTTCTCGAGCAACCCTTTAGCTTGCTATAAGTAAACTAACTTATGCAATTTTCTTATCTCTGCTCACTTTATTTAATTCTGATGAGGAGGAAAATGGTTTTAAACCATAGGCACTCTGTAATTTGAAATCATTGGCATTGGCAAGGCATTTTAGTTAATGTAGCAGACTGCGCTGCTCCTTAATATTCTAATTTGATCCAGCATATTATTTTTTTGCAGACTGTTAGTATTACAACAATTTTATAAAAATTAAGCTTGAACTTTCCAATTCTGGAGCTGCCAAAGGATTTACAAAGCAAAACCATGTTTCGATGTCCATTAAACAAAAAGTGGAATTGCTGCAAAAAATGGATAAAGGCATATCCGTCTCAAAATTATGCAAGGAGTATGGCATTGGAAAGTCAACTGTATATGACATAAGAAAAAGGAACTTTTTGAATTTTTTGTGGAAGCAACTTAAACAACTTACATTGAAAGAAATGTTTAATAAAGTAAACAAATAAATATTAAAATTTTTTTTGTAAATTTTGATACCCTTTAGATCATAGTTGTTCTTTATTTCATATTTTTAATTGTATAATTTCTGCATGCCATATTGCCAGATTTAAATTTATAATCTAATATCCGGAAAAATCCCAAATCCGGAATTGCCGAAGTCCCGGCGAGTTCGGATTTCGGACTTTGTACTGTATGCGTTTATACATTTTATATATTATTTATGCCAGTTTATACTTCAAGGACATAAGAATCTTACTTCACTATTCAACTGCTTAAATGTATCATCACTGGCTAAGACAGCAGCAGACCACCTCTTACAACTATCTCCGTTGGATAAAAGTGATGGAGAAAGTCGATTTAGAGCAGGTTCACTTCCTCTTCTGACATGAAGGGGAAGGATACCTATTAGAGAAAAAAAAAAAAAAAAATATTGAAACTAATTTTAGTACAATGAAAAATGATTATAAAACCTAAAATTACAGTCCAGATGTTAAGCAACAAAATGAAAAAGCAGATAAAAAGAAAAGTGTTAAATTTGAAATCATTGAAACTTGCATAGATTATGATTATAATAAAAAACACAAGTATGGAAAAAAATGAAAAGAAAATGAGGAATAAAAATTAATTACAGTTATAAACAAAAACAGAGGTTTTTTTTTTTTTTTTTTTTACAGCAAAAAAGTTTTCGAGTGGAGGTTTATTACTGAAAAAATGTGATGACCTCTACTGGAAACATGTGTTGGACAGTGTTGATTCATCTTCAAAATAAGACCATCTACAGTGATTTGGGAGTATCATGCCCATTAACCCTCTGAGTGGTATGACTTTTTGGTGCGACTCATGAAAACCTGTACTTAACCCTTTCAGAATGGGCATCCCATATATGCATTCCCTAAGAACGTCTCTTACAGCAGGGCGTCCAATCCACGCATCGCTAGAGATTGCATTCAGGGGACGGGTGATGCGTATGCACATTTTAAGCTGGAACGTTTTTCTGAAGGCCACTAGATGGCATCCTATGTCCATTACATTTGAAATTAACACAGTTTTAAGCTCTGACTTTGAGTTTGATATATTCTGCTTGACTTTGGTATTTTACTCATCAGCTCTTGTGAGGGTGGGGAGGCGAGGGAAAACGTAAACAGAGGTGAGCTCTTTAAATCGCTGCGTGCTAATGAAAACATTCACGTGTCTGATTTATATCCAATTCCTTTTTTCTATTCTATTTTTTCCTTTACTATATACAGTCTTTTAGGGTTAGTATCTGGAGTATTATTACGTTTTGCATTGCCCTTCAGATATATTTCTGTTTCTGCTCTTTTTATTTTGGAAAGCCTCACCTCCAGTCTATTATAGCAGAAAGGCGCTATTTATCAGAGGAAGAATACCCTCGTATGGTCAATGAACCATTTATTAACGCAGATGAGAGTGATGATTTATTTTCTAAAGAATTAGAAAGTGATACTTCTCTGCACTTTGAGATTTACAACAATCTTCATTTTAAATCTTGTTACTTCTTACTGCAAATAGTCTTTATTGCATTGTTTTATTAATTTAAAACTTTATTGATGGATTTTATCAATTAAAACTTTGGAATGATTTGAATAGCGCTTCCGAAAATTATTTTACAAGACAAGCAATTTTTTAAATATATTTTCATGTAAAATAAAGAAAAAAATTATTAAGTGCTAATTTTAACATATATAAGAGCTCAAGTAATAATCTAAAAGAATACAAAAAATTACGATGCTAGAAGCGAAACTTTTTTTTTCTGATCTTTTTTTTATAAAATTAGGCTTAGCGATGCAAAACCTCCATCCTGTACGGTGACTGCCTTCGATTCCCTTCCATCCAGCACGAGCGTCTTAAACAAAGGTGTGCCGTCGCGAAAAGGTTAAACAATTTCTACTAGCTAAATATGTATAATTAATTATTTGTCTCTGTTTTCATAAATTTCCATTCATTAAAATGATATTTACATCATTAAAGAAAGTAAGACAGCAAAATATTTTAAATTATAAGCTTATATCTATACAGCGACAAAAAATTTCATGACCACATAAATGCAATCTTGCCACTCGGGCTAATGCAATAGATATATTCTTAGCTCACTCTGAAAAGTGTGAAGGAGAGAATCAAACATCTCTTAAGCATGTTCTATAGACATTGAATGTGATTAAAGTTAGGTAATCTCAATGGCCATTTATACATACTGCATCAAGAATGTGAGCCCTCTGAAATCCATGTTATCATCCATAAAAATTTGGACATTTGGACCTATGACTGCAAGAAATGGGCAAATGCACTAAACAAGCATGCAATCTCTATATTGCACTGCCATTGCAAAGGAGTTGCATGCAACCATTAACAGTAATACTTGCTGAAACCATCAAACCACTGTCTCTGTATGCATTCATTTCAAGAATGTTACTAGTGTGATGATAGTGAGACCGGTACAATAACTACTTGGACTTAAGTCTGTAAACTAAATCATAACTCATTTGTAAAGCATTATATCTCAGTTGAGGAGTTTTGTTGAAGAGATCTTGACACCAATTTAAGTGGCCTCTCTATGTGAAAGTGTCAGTGGTGTGAAAGTCAATGATCATTATGCATAGAGTTGACCTGCATGTAGCCATCTGTAAACAGTTTGCAGAGTTACCTCTCATCTTCTTGATGATACAAAATGATAAGCAATAACTGACTAGTGACATCTTTATTGCAGATGCAGAAAGCAATCCTCCTGAGCAATAGTGACCTTAGACCACCTGTTTGCTGTTTTTATAATGCAGTTGCTTCATTTTGTGATTAGCAGTAAATGATGGTAAAATTTACATTTAGGGTTCATGCTACATGTGGCTAACATTGGTCCTTACAAGATATCCTTTTATGTCTTATCATCAGGCATAACTCAGAAAATATAATTTATTAATTTTTTTTTCTGAGGTCCAAAATATGGAGATACAAGCTCTGCACAAAATGGGCTATTTTTATACCCAACATGTTTCCATATTAAAAAAACTATGGTGTGCAAAACTTTCTCTGCAAGTTTTCCTCACATATACACCTGAGGTAGAAAATATTTTTTAAAAAATCTTTTATTTTTTAATTTTATAATTCTTTACTGCACATGCTATTACAGGAAAAAAAGGATAACAAAGCATTATGGAAGCAAGCAACATCAACAAGGTAGAGAAACAGTCAATCATTAAAGTACAGAGATTTGAAATATTAAGTCTGTCCCCCCCCTCCAGCTGGGACAAAAGTGTCTCAAATGAGGCACTTCCCTCAGGTGAATGTGCACTCACATGCTTTTATTTCACCAATTAATCAAATTGAATCAAGAAATTAATTAATTATTAATAATTTAATATTTAAAATGACAGAGAAAAACCATTATTGTGTATTTTATATAATTTTCAGGTCGTAATTGTTGCTTTATGTTCATACAAGGAATCAAATGCTATATCATTGCAATGGGCGAAAATTAAAAGCCTCTTTAAGTAAATCAATTTAAAATTTTATGCTTAGAATTTAATACTGCAAGGAACAGAAAAAGTAAATAAAGTCTTGCAATCAAAAACTTTAACTGGTCAGAGAAGGTACTGGCTTAATTTATGACCTTTCAAATGGGAAGGCTTTCGGTAGTAGGTGGGCTGAGAAACCATTTAAATATATCTCCTTAATTAAAAATTCAGTAACCGATAATGTAGATGATATAGGACAGTGTCATGATTAAGCATCCATTTATGAAATGCTTGGCCTGATGAGATGAGACATAAGACCTCATCCAAAGTCTTTCACTTCATGGTATGTTTCTCATTCCTGGAATGTTCACACTTTTGCCAATATAGAATGTTCCTGCAAAAGTTTCATTACTTTCTGTCGTGGCTTTGATGATGGCAAAATGTATATTATCTTCCCATTTCTCCCATTATATATGAATTCAATAGGTCTGAAATAATCTTTATTTGCACAACTCAAAGGCCCAAACAGAATTACAGAAGAATTAATCAGGAATTGTATTTAGAGACCTTGTTTGTGCAATAACATCCTGTTCAAAAATAAAAAATTGAACTTAAAAAAGTTCTTAAATTAAGGGAAAAAATTATTTTTTAATGTAAAAGATACATATTAAATTATATGGTACTTACATATTAACACCACCGCAGCTGCAGATTTGGCGGTTTTTAAGTGCCGCCAATCTACACCTAAAATTTTTTCGACAACTCATAAATTAAAGCACTTTATTTAAAATCAAAGTAGTCAATTGGATTTTGGTGGAAAAAATGGGCCGATATAGAGTTTAACATAGATTCAAAACAGTTTCTATTTTCTTTGACCTGATGCTGTTGCCATACGAACTCTGCTAAATAAGATTATGAATTATGTCGCGTTGTCTTCCTATGTCTCTTGTTCCTCCATTTAGCACTGCCCCACATTCTCTCAACTGTTTGTGTGATCAATAAATTGTATTTATGATTAACTTTAGCATGTAGGAATCCTTCTTTTTCTATTCTATTTGTTTGGTAACCTTTCGAACTGTCAGAATAAATTATGCTACCATCTGCAGTGTTTCCAATAATTTTATTAAGAAGGGTGGAGCCAGTTTTATTGGGAATAGTAACAACAAATGAATCTTTTGTTTCTCTACATATACCAACAAACACCCACTGTTTGGGTAATATTCGACCACAATCATCAATTTCCACAATGCAATCTGGTCCACCTACCTTCTTGTTTGGTTTATTCTCCATATCTAAGACATATAATTCATGCATGTAATTGTTCCAATCTGTAATAGTTTTATCCAATAAATCAAGTTGCTTTTCACAATATTTAATCAACATCTACTCGCACCAGCAGTATATGAATCTCAAAGCTAAACAAAATGGAATTCTGCTTCCTTCATACCAGTTGTCTTTTCTAAGTCCCACTTGCTGATCACACTGTCTTAAATTACATTTCCAAAACGTATGTTTACCGAAATAAAGCTTCATAATCATGTGAATTGGTACATTTTCATTTTTTTTTTGGTAAAATATTTCGCTCCTGAAAAAAAAAAAAAAAAAAAAAAAAAAAAAATTGCATCTTCTTCTGTGTTTGGCAAATACCAAAGACTCATTTTCGTAGCACTAAAAAATGGCGTCAAAAGTCAGCAAACAACAAGGCAAAAAGGAATCCAAAAGATAACTGTGTGCAAACAACAGGATTGCTCTTTATTGGGGAATCAGGGCAACTTCTGCTGCAGTGGCATTAATATGTAAGTACCAATTATATGTTTTCCATGCATAATAGGTTTCCCATTTACCATTAAACTGTTCATAAAAACTTGTAATTTAAGTTCATGTTCATATTACTTGTTTAAATAAATTTATTAGTAGCCTAGATGGTATAGTGGTTAGGGAGCCTACTGCAGTATCAAGAGGTCTGGGTTCGAATCCCAGAGAAGGCATGTTTCTAAATATATAGTGTTTGTGAGGGATGGAGGCACTCTAAATATACGGCGAGCCAAAAGACCTCTCGTGTGGTTTGCTGGCAGGGGAGAGAGGTGGGAAACCCTCGGAAAGCTCTCCCTCAAAATTGGTGTGAAAAATAGAAGTTCAACCTCTCTTTGGAGTAGGCTATGACAACCATTCTTCCATGTAATAGGAACACAATAACAATAACAAGAACAACAAATAAATTTATTTAAGTGGAGCAAAGTAACAATAAAACCACAGGCAACATATTTCACTGAAACACATTCATAGGATATAAACTTGAGAATATAAGTGTGTTGCCAAAAAATACAAAGAAAATGTGACAATGGAATGGAATTAATTATAAATTTAACAGTTCAAAAGTAAGAAATTTAACTTAAAAAAAGGCTATTAAATTAAAGAAAAAAATAATTATTTGCTGTAAATATACATATTAAATTAAAATTTAAACAAATTTAAATTTACATTTTAACAAACACATATAAAAGTAATAAAGCAAATTTAAAGCCAAAATAAAGAAAAAAAGCCAAAATAATTTTTAAATGGATTGGTTTTGCACTTGATTTGCTTGTGCTTCTGAATTTAAATGATATTGTAGATTAGTTCAAGAATTAATTCTTTTATATGTTTGCAGATTTTTTAAAATTTTTTTTAAAAAATTATTTTGGCTTTTTTTGGCTTTATTTGGCTTTAAATTTTGCTTCATTACTTTTATAAGTGTTTGTTAAAATTTAAATTTAAATTTCATTCCTTGCAGCAATGGCACAAAGAATCTTTAATTAAATTTGTATTTAAATTAAATTTATTTAATTAAATTCAATTTATTCTTATGAAACAATACATATTAAATTATATGTTTCCCATGCACAAATTTACACTTAAATGACAATATTAGTACATAGCAGGCTATTTATCTAACAAATGAAGGAAGACGAAAAGTTAACGATAATTTTTAATTAAAAAAAAAGGAGATCGTAATTTTATTATAACAGAATATAAATTTTTACCTGCTGCAGCTTTTTCATCACTTATTTCCACATCAGAGTTATTATAAGATTTAATCAATGGTGCTGATATAATTTCACCATTTTGGAATATATCTGGGCTTTCTGTGCCCACAGAGCTGGCACTTGTGCCATCACCACCATTATGCATCAGATAAGAAGAAATCTCTTCATCAAATATAGCAGTGATCTATTAAAGAAGGAAAAAAAAACACTTATGAAGTCAATGCAATTCATATCAGATATTATGTAATACCATGCTAATTCTTATATAATTTTCAGAATTTAAAATTGTAGTACATTTTCAATTTCTTCTGCTGCATTAGCTTATACTAATATATACTATATATTAATCACCTAAAATATTTCATATTTAGGTAATTTTAGTTATAATAAATGAAATTTTAATAGTTGTTAAGGTTTAATAACTGATGCAGTTTAATAACTTTCAGAACTGAAACAAAATATAAACTTTGTTATATACAGAAAGCAATGCTGACATTCACATGCTTGGAGAAGTACTCACTGCAACATATTTTCGTTACCATATATTCACTTTTCACTTTCTTATAAAATCTATTTTTCTTTTGAATTTACTTTCTACAAGATATTTGCAGTGATTAATTTTTTAAAAGAAATATTTAATCAATAACAATTTTCAATGCTATTCACTCATAATTTGTCAGTAGAGGAAGGTTTGTTTCATGTATTTCTGCTTTAGAATGATCTAACCACAGAGTATACAGATTACTGTAAAACCCACAGGGCAGTAGTCCAGTACAGGACTTCTGCATCAATCACATTAGCCCATGAAAAGTTTTCTTAGAAATGGGCATTTCAGTTTTCTAAAATTTTTGTAAGTATTTCATCACAGAAACATTTTGAGTTCAAAAAATGTACACTCAGAATGGCTAGATCTGTTTAGTAAGTATTAACCATCGATAAATGATGCATTCACTAAAACAATTTACACTTATTTTAGGACACTGTATTCTTAAAACTTATTTTGTGTAATATAAAATGTTGTATGAAACATTGACTCATAGGATTCAAATTTTTTTAATAATGTATCATTTTCCCTCTAAAAAGTTTGATACAAAATAAATATCGTAAGATATTTCTTACAATAAAATACTTTATACAAAACGTGTTAATCAGGAACTCTTATAATAATTCAGACACTGGAAAGTTTTGTTGAGTTGTTTTGGTAGATGATGTTTCTTGACAAAATGGTTTTGTTTTAAATGAAAACACATCACAAGAATTATCTGAATTTAGAAATTGTTATTTGCTTAGCAAAATATATTAACTGTTCCACATCTGAAAGCAATGTGGCAGGATGCTGCAAATTAATGATAAGTTCAGTTAAAAATTTAATTATTTATCATTTTAAAGATTAATAAAATATTCAAAATATGCCTCCCCCCCCCAAAAAAAAACATGATGTAAAACATAAAGGGTATTATGAAATGATGGAAATTGTATGGAACTGTTGAAAATGCACTGAAGTTTGGACCACATTCCAGACTAACACCAAGAAATCAAGAGATTTAGCTTATGAAAATCAAATAAGAACTAAACAGTAGAGCAGTAAAACTAACAATGACTTAGAACAATGGTTTGCAATAAAATTTAACACTAAAACTATTTAAAAAATCATTAGAGTACATAGATACATTAGACAATCTAGTCATAATAAAATTTTTCATCAACAAGAAAACAAGGTAAATACACCTGGAATTTGGAAAATCTGTGATAAGCAAACAATTATCACTTGGAACAATGTTAAACTTGCAGACTGAGTCAAGATTTAATATATTTTGACCCGATGGATGAATCATTGCAAGGAGAAACTCAAATTTCTTCTTCCTTCTTACTATGTCCTCTTCCTTATTCCTAAATTTAGTTTTTATAGAGCAAATAATGTGGATCTCTCTCTATATATATATACTAATCAATTTAAAATGCATATATTATGAAAAATACTGAATATAGAAGTTTAAGAGTAATTTTATGCTACATGGCTAAACAAAGTTTTTTTACAGACCAAATTAGAGGCGCTCAATATATTCATCTTTGGACACATGTCATGTGTCTATATGGTAGTTAAATTCATCCCAAACTTTTGTAAACATATCTGCATCCACCGCTTCCGTGGCTGTTGTTATGCGTATCTTAAGTTCAGTTAATGTACGTAGAAGTGTGGGCACATAAATAGTCTTTCATAAATCCCCACAAGAAGAGATCATACACTGAAAGGCATGGCAATCTTGGAGGCCAGTGAGGTTATCACACATGGCTACAGTCTCTGCTAGACGAGACTTTTCTGAGAAACGAGATTCTGGTAGCACTGGTTTAAACGGGAGGATTCCTAGAAAAAAGAGCACCACCTAAAGTGAAGTCCAGCCTAGCTACGGAAGCCATGTTGCGGCTACGCGGGATTGTTTCAAACCTCACCGAAAATGTCCCGGGTAGAGACAACCAATCAGACGAAAGTTCTGCTTCTGAAGGATCGCGTGATCTCGATTTAAGCGATAATCGATTACTGTTTGGCGTTTGGCGATTTCTTTATAGTAAATGAGAATGGTAACCTAGCTACGTGGGTTTCCTGGAATTGTGCAGGTTCTTAGAATTGTCCCTTTCGATGTCAAGTCCCGCATAGCCGAAACATATTGTGATTGGAACCTAACTGAATTGTAAGGTCCCAATCCATTGTTGAGGAATGCGACTGTTCAAAAATTCTCAAACATCCAAGCTCCAGTGTGGTGATACTACATCCTGTTGGAAAATGAATAGTTTTTAACTGTGGGAAAAGCTAGTTTTCAAGCATATCCAGATTTCCAGTGGCTTCAATGAAAAAAAAGATCATATATCTTTTTCCGAGAAGTGGTGCAAAAAACATTAACTTTTGGCAAGTTCTATCATGCAGTGCAGTTTGATTTAGCTGCTCCACACTGAACTAACACTATGATCAATCAATACATGTATTACCGGGCTATTGCTAATATGTGCGATGTTGCTGGCTCATTGATAATTATGACGTAACACTCAGACGGGTAAGAGGAGGTCTGAGGTGAAGAGGGGGGTGACCATGCACCACAAGGTTATAGAAAACAAAACACGAGACCGAAAACCAGTATAGGCTTGACAAAAGTAACGGAATCTGACTGATGTTATCAAAAACATACATAAGAATAAAATATAGGTATACAAACTTTTTGTTTACTAAGAATAAATCAACACAGTAAAAATTAGAAGTCAAGGATATATGTGAAAAATACAAACTATTTACACATATATACAAAAGTGCAATTAAGTTGGAAAATTTGAGTCAAGGGTGAGGTGGGCCGCGTAGGGTCTAATATTTGCATCCTCAGGTAAAATAATATAGTCGAATGTATTAAAATCACTTAAATGGGAGTAGAGTTTGGCCTTTGTAAAGAACTTTTTGTTCACACGATGGATGAACTCTTCTATATGCTCAACTTTTAAATCATTATGCAGAGTGTCGCTGGATACATAGAAGTGAGCTTGAGTAATAAGCCGTAAGTACTTATTTTGTATGATCTGAAGTTTATCTAGATCTTTATTAGTGACCGCTGCCCACGCAGGCGAGGCATAAGTGATAATAGGCCTTATAATGGCTGTGTAAACATGCCTTTTCCCTTAGAAGATCTAGTTTAGAAAAGCGGAAATAGATTTTTCATAGTGGACAGGGCTTTGTCTCGTACTTTAGTTATGTGATCACTCCAAGTGAACTTGCTTGCTATTGAGAGTGACGCCTAAGTAGTAGTTGGCCTTCTGAACTATGGGGACATCGACATTAAAGAGCTTCAGACTTGCAGAAACAGGAGTTCTTTTGGCCTTTCTCTGTATGACGAGTAGCTCTGATTTCTGTGCGTTAATAGAAATTCTCCACACTGTGCACCAGTGTTCTATCTGGAGTATGATGATCTGTAGTTTATTGATTGCATTATCGACACTGAGTTAACTGCCAGCGCCGTATCATCGGCGTAGCATCCTACGAATCCATTTAAGTCCGTGAAAACATGCAGAAAGTCCGCCACATAAAATATATACAAAAGTAGGCCTAAAATAGACCCCTGTGCTACACCTGCATTGAGTCTCTTCTGCGGGAATTTATCATTACCGATATTCACGAAAAAATTCCTGATTCTCGATAAACGAGAAGGTAAGTAAGATTAAGTCCCTGTTTAAATCCAAGCAGATTAATTTAAAAATAAGCCCCTCATGCCAAACGCGGTCGAAGGCTTTCGCCACGTCTAGCATGAGTAAGGCGACCTTCTGGTGATTATGAAGAGCCGATCCAATGAATTCATTCAGACGAACAAGTTGCTTGGTAAGTAGATAGTGATTTTCTAAACCCGAATTGTTCTGGCGGCTGTTTGGCCAGGTAAGGATTCATTCTTCTTAATATAATTCTCTCGTAGATTTTTCCTAAACCTGGCAAGAGCCTAATAGGTCTAAAGCCCTCGGGTTTGGTAATGTCTTTACCTGGTTTAGGTAGCAATATGACTTTAGCAACTTTCCATGTTCTGGAAATGTAGTTGTTCATGATGCACGCATTCAGGATACTGATGTATTTCGTAACAATACACAAGGTAGATTTTTGATCGCGATATTCGTAATAGCGTCAGAACCAGGCGCTTTTCTATTTTTTAATTTCTTTATAATATCCTTCATTTCGCCAGGAGTCGTGAAATCAGGTTTAATTCTTGGGCTGGGACTATTAATCCAGTCGTGTATGAAGTATCTTATATCATAAGAAAATGTGAGGTCGCAGGAGTCCATGTTTGGCATGAACTGTTTTTCAAGATGCTCTGCCATTATACTGACTTTGTCCTTATTTGTCACAGCTATTTTATTTTATCCGTAAATGGGCTTATTCACAGTAGATCTCGTTTTCAGATTTCTGGCAAACGACCAAAAAGCATTGTTTGGCTCGTTAAAACTGGCAACTTTGTCATTCCATTTTTCATTCCTAAACTTATAAATGCTATCTTTAATAGTTCTGTTAAGCTTATTGAGTTCTCTTTTGATATTTGGGTTCCAGGAAACGTACCATCTCTTTCAGAGCTTATTTCTCTGTTTGATCTGATCACGAATATATATACATTGGGAGCCTTTCTGCGTTCTTATCAGTCGGGAATGTTTTCGTAGTATCATTGTAAGCAGCCAGAATACTATTCGTGAGAATCTCTATTGCAAGGTCAATGTCACAGCTATTTCTAAGATTGCCAAAATCAGGAGGATTTTTGCTAAGGTACTCATTAAAAAGAGCCCAATTCGTAGATTTTCTGTACTTAGTATCATTATATTGATTAGAGCCTAATGTGGCAATAATTGGAACGTGGTAAAAGGTGAGCTCTACCTTAACTTCCAGATACATAGGTATCGACGCAGTAGCAAGAATGACATCCAAAATATCTCCTCTTCTGGAATTGTCTAGTAAATACGTATATTCATTGGGGGGGGGTGGATAAATAGGATATTTGTTAATGAAGTTATAAAGTTGTAAACCATTTTTATTCTATCTGCGACAACCCCATTCCACGTTCTTAGCATTTAAATCGCCACCTACAATAGTCTGCTTGCCAGAGGGAAGAATCTCCTGGAGTAAGTTCTCATCAAGCGGGTTGCTAGGCGGGTTATGCATAGCGCTGAAATAAACTATCCCATACAGTGGGAGGAGTACAGAAACATTAACAATTTCGCAGCCACTTCTTCTAATTTCATTTATGAGACAAGCTTGAAGGAACCTTTTAACAAAAAATGCGACCCCTCCCCACCTGTGTGAATCAGTCGATCGCACCTGAAACAAGGGCAGGCATAAGTCTCTGTAATCAAAGCGATGTCAGAAGTTCGTGAATTTTATTTAATACGCTGTGCACATTCCAAATCATGAGCTGAATTGGAGCTCTTTTAAGTAACCCACATAGCACAAAAACATCCTTGGGATATCCCGAGGATGTTGCTCGTGGGATATGCGCGCATCCTCGGGACATCCCGGAATATCCCGCGAACCTCCTAAACACCTCCTCCCGAGTGCTTAATGTCACATGCCAGTCCATCCTCAGGACATCCTAACTAAGTCCCATCGACAGCGTACGGGATGTTATTAGGATATGAACTCCTACTTACTACATCCTCAGGACATCCCGGGATATCCCACTAACTTACTTCCACTGAGGACACTTACGATGTCCTCAGGACATCTGAGAATCAACATACTCAGGACATCCTAAGTATGTCCCGGGATATTGCGACTTAAATAGGACATCCTGAGGATGTTTTGTGCTATGGGGGAACACTATGGCATAGGACATCCTGAGAATGTTTTGTGCTATGGTGGAACACTATGGCTGTTGACTTCACGTAAGTACATGAAAAGCAACCTTGTTATTAAACACTGTGTTAGAAAATTGTTATCCTGAGACACAATTTGAAAGATGATTTCACAAACACCATTCTTTGTCACCTGTATGAAGTGGAAAAACAAGTGTTGCTTCAAAACATACCAGATAAATATTGCAGAAATGTCAAGTTTCCTACAAGCACGGTGAGTGAATTTCTGTTGTCTAAGTGAAATTCTGTTGAACGTGCTCCTAATTTTCATCTGACCAGTTGCTAACTGCATGAAGCTTGAGATTTCCTTCTTTCTACCTATGCATTATTTGATAAAAAATGATTAAAAGCTAATTAGTTGATTTTTTTTATGATTCTTTTTTAAACAATCTGTTTAACTATTTTTAATGAAAACCTCAAGCTATCTGCAAGAAAATTCGGAGAGCAAAAATATTTAAGTCTTGTCAAAATTACAATCCTAAATATAGAGACCTAAATGTTTGCTTGTGGTTACTAGTATACAACTGTTCTGAAGTTACCAAAATTTCTCAATATTCTTTGGAATGAAATCCTGTTCAACATGTATGGAATGAATTGGAGAAAATAAAGAAGCATGATATTTCTTTGAAAGCTCCATTAAAAGCAATTCTTATGAAGGAATGGAACAAAATGCAGCATACATTTTGGGGAAAAAAAAAAAAAAAAAGAAAGAAAATGCTAGTTGAATTCATGCCGAAGAGCATGAAAAGTGTAATTTTAGCTAAATCACAGTAATAAAAGAATATTCAAGGAAATATTGAATGAGCCATTATTTTTATGTTTTTTGTTAAATACAAGCTGTTTGTTCAAAGTGTTCAATTATTTATGCAAGTTCACAAAGACGTTTTTGAATAAATTTCTTTTTTCACCAAAAACATTTTGAATAACTTTCTTCAAAACAAGCAGAACTTAAAAAAGATGATCAAGAGTATGTGTGAAGAGAAGATAAAGTTATTTTCCCTCTTATTTAATAACTGATATTTACAAATAAAACTAAAAAACACAAGTATCTGAAAACAAATGTAAACCACT